CACAATCGATAACCTTCGAAATCTAACGTTGCGATATAATTTCGAAGGTTTTCGAATTAATATAATTACTGATGTAAAACATATATTTTTATCTGAAAGATTTTTGGAATGGCAAAAATATATAACAAAAATATGAAACATTAATTATTTATTTAATTATAAATAGTTTTTTTGTTTTTGTCAAATAAAATGAAATTGTTGTATTTTATAAATTTTCTAATAGTAAAAAAGATAGTAATAAAATATAGTAAATTTTTAAAACAATTTTGATATTTTTTGTCTTAGATATAAAGTATTCTGCTTTATTGTGAAATGAGAATACTTCATATCTAACACTACCAATTAATTAATTTATTGATACTTTATATCAACTCTTGTTAATTTTTCAATTTGAAGTCTTACAAAATAAGGATATTTTGTATTTATCAAGTACAGAACTGTGAAACATAATATTCTTTAATATGTTTTTTACATATTCCAGATATAGAAGCTATAGGCTTATTACATATATTGCAAAGTATACATTTTTTAGTTCTCCAATATTTGTGATATCCTTTATGATGTTGACATCTATGTTTATAGATTTCTCCGGAGTTGGTATATATTTGCATGTATATTCACCTATATATGTCATCCAAATCCCAAATTATTTTAGTATTTCAGTTGCCAAAATTTAGTTTTCATAGTATTTAGAATTTTGAATTTGGCATAATTTGGAATTTGAGATTTCAACAATTAGTAATTTTGAAATTTGGGATTTGGGATTTAGTATTTGAATTTGAGTAGTACCTATATATTCACCTTGCATTTTAATAAATTTATATAATTGAATAATTATTTTAATTTAAATAAAAGATCTGATTATATTAATAAAAAACACGGGACATAGATATATATTATAAATATTTAGAATGTAAATATTTTCCAATGTTAAATAAAACTTGAGATCTTAATAAACATGTAAATTTATTAGGAAATCTTTATAAAAGATAATGTCAACCAGCTTTACAAATATTACAAAATTCAGCTGTTCAAAATTCTGCTAAAAACCTGACTTCAACATTAGTAGAAAATTCAATTCTGATCTCAGAAAGTGATCTCATATTATTTGAAAAAACTTATCAATACACTAGTTACTCCAGTTGAGTGTGCTGGTAGTTGATCCAGAGATAGGACCTAGTACGAAGCTAAACAAAATAATTTTAATTCATAAAAATATAACAAATGAAATTGTGTTTTATGATAGAAAAAGAAAATGATATGGAGTCAAAAAAGAGTTTCATACATTATCTAACAAGTACTATTTTATTAAAGCAGGTAATAGTAAAACAAATATAAAAGCATATAAAAGAATTATCAAAGAATTGGAAGCTATAGCAGAAAAAACAAATAAATAAGTTATGTAAAAATCAGGAAGTTATACCTTAACAAGTTTAAAACTTTTTTGAAAAATAACTTTAATATCAAAAAGAAGTAAAAAAATAAACAAAAAAGAAAAAGCATAATTAAATTTAATGTCAACTTGTGCTTTAATATTTGTAGAAAAATATGAAATAGAAGAAATAGAAGCAAGCATATGTTGCTCTTAGTAGATATCCAAACTGAAACAATATTCAAATATCTCATCTTGATCAATTAGTATTCTTGAACATCAAAGATTAGAAAATATTTCCATATCTCATCCAACTGTATTTCATTAATGTAATAATATAAAAAAAAAATAATATATTTCTCATAAATTTAAACTACAACATGCATATTCCCGTGACAGGGGGTGATTACTCTAAAGAAAATAATGGCTAGTTTTTTTTTATCAAAATTGAGTGTACTAATATTTGACGAAAAATATTATATCAAAAAATATCACCACTGAATGACAAGCAAAAATATAATCTTTTCGTTAGAATCTTGACTTCCCCTAACGCATTTTGAATATTTGAAATTCCAAGAAAAAATATCAAAAAAAAAAAAATTTGAGCATAAAGTGAAAATCATTACGTATTATATTATATTACACAGAATTTTATATCTAAAGTTTTAAAATATTTATTTTGATCGACGTAGATTCTACTTGTCACACACGACTCATTTTAGTGCATTAGAAATTAGAGTTAGAAAGTTAGTTTAGTTATGTCTGAAACTCCGTTTGAAAATAAATTTGATGATCTTATTCATAAACTAGACATATCTGAAACTCTAAGTAATGTGGATGTTTCAAATCCTTTTAGTGATGTAGTTTCGTCTTTAATCACACCAGTAGGAGTAGATTCTTCCTTAATAGAAGGGAATCATAGCGATCTGGATAATGGCTTTTTCGAACCAAATTTCATAAAAAGTGATGAATTTAAAGAATTTGAAGACTTAGATATTAAAGATGATGTTATAGATTCTGCTAATTTATCAATTACATCAGATCAAAATATTGAGAGAATTAGTAACAGTGATGAATCGTTGACTGATGAAAGTAATTTTACGAGAGATTCACAGGTAAAAACAAAATTTTAAACTAAGTAACTAAGTAGGTAAGTGTTAAATAAGTATTTTGTTTATTTATTTATTTAAAAAAATTTTCAATTTCAATTTTAATAGTTAGATCTAAAAGGAAATAACGAGGTTGGGACTACTCCATTATTTGATATTTCGGTAGAAGATCCACAAAAAATTGGAGATCCTATTAATGCTCATATTATATACAGAGTTAGAACTAGAGTATGTTTGAATATTTCAAAATTTATTAAAAAAAAAAAAAAAGATACTTGATCTAAATATATTTAATATAAATCAATAAATCAATAACTTCAGACATTTATACACATTGTCAGACAACATCGGATAAATTTAAAAGCAATGATTTTACAGTTTTAAGAAGATATCGAGATTTTTTATGGCTTTATAATCAATTAACTTTAAGAAATCCAGGGGTAATCGTTCCACCTGTACCGGAAAAACATGCTATTGGTAAGAAATAATAATTATTATAATAATTTTGAAAATAATAATAATAACCGCCAATTGATGATCTTATTGTTACACACATTTATATTAATATATATTTTTATAGGTCGTTTCCAAGATGAATTTGTAGAGAATCGTCGTCAAGCTCTTGAAAAATGTTTAAATAAGATTACATCCCATCCGAAATTATATAATGATCCAGCCTTGAAGTTATTCTTGGAATCAGATAGCTTCATCATCGATGTAAATATTTTAATTTCTTTTATAATTATTTAATTCGATTGATTATTAATAAAATAACAATCGACCTTATCAATGTAAAAAAAAAAATTAAATTAAAAATAAATTAAAATAAATTAAAATAAATTAAAATAAATTAAAATAAATTATTAATTCAATTAATTCAATTAATTCAATTAATAGGTTAAACGAAAAAATCAAGATGAATCCAAAGGAGTATTAAAGTCATTAGGCGAGGCAGTTTCAAATGCCACGACGTTTACCAAATTTACAGAAACAGATGAAGTAATTTCCTTTAGTTAATCATTTATATATCTTTATAAATGCATTTTATAATAATACATATATGTACATTTTTTTCTTTTAGTGGTTTGAAAATCGTAAAAATCAATTGTACATTCTTGATTCACAATTAAAGGCCTTGTTAAAATCCGTTGAAACTATTGTTAAACAACGTAAAGGTAATACTATTATTATTATTATTATTATTATTATTATTTTATAAAATATCATAATATATTAATATAATATGTATATATATATATTTATTTATTTATTTATTTAGATCTAAGTGGAGTTACTGCTGAATTTGGGGATAACATCTTGTCTTTAAGTGAAGTGGAGAGTAATGAAACTTTAGCGAATCATTTGACTATATTAGGAAACATACAACATCAAATTAAAGAATTACATGAAAAGCAGGTAAAAAATTTATTTATTCATTTATTTATTTATTAAAGAAACTTTATTAAAAATGTATTTTATTATTTATTAGGCACAACAAGATGTTGTAACTTTGGAAAGTACTATTGATGAATATATTCGTTTAATAGGATCTATTAAGGTAAGCAACGTAATAATAAATTATCATTTAACAAATCAACATTTGAATGAACTTTATCATTAAGTAGAAAAAATTTCTGTAAATTATTTACAGGTCGCGTTTAATTCACGTTCCAAAGTTTATCAAACGTGGAAAAATGCTATAAATGATTTACAGAAGAAGAAGGCTAATTATGAAAAGACGAAAACTCAGGGTAAACTTACTACGGAAAGACTTTCGTTCTTGTTGGCACAACTCGCAGAGGTATTGAATATTAAAAATATTGAATATTAAAAAATATTGAATAATAATTAATTAAATTGAGTAAAAAGAATGTTACTTATTTATTACTTACGTATGTATCATCATTATTTAGTCCGAAAATCGAGTCGAGGAGTGTAAAAACGATTTCGAAGATGTCACAGAACTTATTAAAGCTGAAATAGATCGATTTGATAAAGAAAAAGTGGAAGACTTTAAAAATAGTGTTGAAGCATTTTTGGAATCGATGGTACAAACACAAAAAAGGGTAAATTATTTATTTACATTAATTTTTATTCTCCAATATTTAATAATATATAATAATTAATTAATTCTATTTAATTTAAATAGATAATTAATTTATGGGAATCTTATTCAGTACAAGTAGAACAAGTAGAAAAAACATCAGAATACAAATCTTGAGCATGATCATGACTTGATTGGATATTTTTTATTTATATATTTTTATATGTACAATATTGTATTTTAGAAAAAAGGATTTGTAAATTAGATCTCACTATCTCATTTATCTTACGTAATCTCCACGTGATGCAATTTAGCCTTTTTCTTTGTTATATGAAATCACGTGTTGATTTAAAATTATTTTCAGAAATAGATTAGAGAAACCAAGTTAAATTAAATAAAAAAAAAAAGAGAAACTCAGAGTTTTGAGTCAAATTGTTCAAATATCAATTTCAAATATAATTAATCATCAATATCCGTGTAACAAACATAAAAATTTTATTTGTTTGTTTTTAAGATTATATTATAAAAAAAATAAATTGATAAGGTTTTTTCATTTTAAAAAAAAAAATTTTTTTATGTAATAATTTTACTACTAATATTTTCTTTATAATAATGTTTATTAATAATTAATGATAATAAAATGTACCCGAGAAATTTCCCGAGAGAAAATTAACTTTATTACGTTTAAAAATTGACCAATCAAGTTACGAGTAGTACCAACTATACCATCACTTATTCCATCAATGCTTTGGCACTTTACTGAAGAAAGTATCGACCAGAAAATGAACCCCTTTCCCCACCAGTTAATCTATCAACCAAACGGTTCCCCGAATGGCCAGGTGTCCCCAAATCAATCACCCTCTCATTCACCCTCACCTCCTACAGCATCTCCAAATCAAACTTCGCCGTCACTTGGATATCCCGTATCACATAATTTACAAACAATTTATAGTGGTAATAGTATGCACTTATATTCTTTACAATCAAAATTACAACCAAAGTTACAACCTTCTTTAGGACACGCGTTTGGACCACACTCCTTGTTAAACCAAACATCAGGACCTCCCGGACAAGCTTTAATGCCACCGGTTTCTCATGCAATGAATCAGCCACAATTAAATATATCTCTAAATACAGGTGTAACCAATACAAATAATCTAACAGTAGTGAGTTCGACACATTGGCAATCACAACTTAATTATGCACAATTATCCCGTCAATCTTCTTCACCACACCACCACGCACGACAAGCAGCAGCAGCAGCACGAAATAATAATAACGTCGTTGGTAGTTCAGCAATAGCAATAACAGATCCAAATAATCCTAATAAACCTCCAGTGAATGGAGTATTAAATAAGAAAGAGGTTAATGGAGATAAAGATAAACAAGATCAACCATTTCAACAATGGATGATAATTGATCTGGGTGGTATGGGCCTCAAGAACATTAGTAAAGAACTTTTCCTATATAAGTTCCTAACAATTCTCTATATAAACCATAACAATCTGACATATGTTTCACCGGAAATTTCTAAGCTGCGACATCTTACAATATTAGATATATCAGGAAATAAATTATCAGTTCTCCCATCAGATTTGGGAATGTTAACGAATTTAAAGGAACTTTTATTATTTGATAATAATATTGTAACATTACCATATGAATTGGGTACACTTTATCAATTGGAGACACTTGGAATAGAGGGAAATCCAATAAGTGAGGCAATTAAATCATTATTACAAAAAGAGGGTACGACGGCAGTAATTTCATTTTTAAGGGATAATTGTCAAGGTAAATTTTAAAAAATTTTTTTTTAAAAAAAAATAAATAAATAAATAAATAAATATTTTATTATAAATAAATAATAACAAATATTATATGTAGTTTTGACTAATTGATTCGATATCCTTAGTACCACCACATCCAATGGAAAGGGATTGGATAATGTTGGAAACTGATACTGTTGGAGGAGAACGTGGTATGTCGATAAATGGGAAATCGGATTCTTTAACATTTTTAGTTTTAAATCTAGTATTTACATTTAATTACATTTAATTGACATTTAATTACTTGTAATTACTTGTAATTACTTGTAGTTACTTGTAGTTACTTGTAGTTACTTGTAGTTACTTGTAGTTAACATTTAGAAGAAAAACAAAATATACAAAATAATAGAAATAATAGAAAAAAAAAATAAACAAATGGTGACCAAAAGTAACCGTCACCAATTGTATAACATAAATTCTATTCTGACTTTTATGAATTGATAATTTTTATTTTTAGATTCTTTCACTCTCCTTTGCTATAATATTTTATGTGAAAAATATGCAACTACCCAATTATATGGTTATACTCCTTCATGGGCACTTGCTTGGGATTATCGAAAAGAACTTATCGTGGGTGAAGTATTATCTTATAATGCGGATATTGTATGCCTTCAGGTAAATTAATTTTGAATTATATTTTTTCCAACAATTTATTATTAATACGAGAAAGTATTTATTTATTTAATCTATTTATTTATTTATTTATTTTTTAGGAAGTTGATACAGCACAATACGAGGATTATTTTAAGGATGCATATCACAAACATGGAGATTACGATAGCGTTTATTGGCCAAAATCTCGTGCTAAAACGATGTCCGATTGGGAGAAAAAATCCGTAGATGGATGTGCTACATTTTTTAAGGCCTCAAAGTATTTTAATTTGAATTATTATTATTATTATTATTATATGAAATTATTTATGAAATTTTTTATTTGGTGAAATTAATAATAATAATAATAATAATAATAATTATTATTATTATTATTATTATTATTATTATTATAATTATTAATTATTATTATTTATTTTTCATTTTCTAGATTTAAATTAATTGATAAGCAATTAATCGAATTTAATCAAGTTGCGTTACAGAGACCAGATATTAAGAAAACCGAAGACATGTTTAATCGAGTTATTACTAAAGATAATATTGCAATTGTAACATTACTTGAGAATAAGGAGAATTCAACACGAATTATTATTGCTAATTGTCATATTCATTGGGATCCTTCATATGCGGACGTTAAACTTGTTCAAGTTGCCATGTTAATGGATGAAATAGATAAATTATCTCATAAATGGAGTACATTACCTAATCAATCATCTTATAATTATAATAATCACCCAAATAAAATGTCAACCATTATTTGTGGTGATTTTAATTCAACACCTGATTCTGGTGTATATGAATTTTTATCTCGTGGAACAATAAAACAAGATCATGGTGATTTTGGTGATCATATTTATGGATCATATACTTCAGGGGGTTTATCTCATGGATTATCACTTAAATCCTCTTATTCTAATATTGAGGAATTACCTTTTACCAATTTTACACCTTCATTTACTGGTGTAATTGATTATATTTGGTATTCTACCAATACGTTAACCGTTACTGGTTTACTGGGTGGCGTAGATAGAGAATATCTGTCTAAAATGGTGGGATTTCCAAATGCGCATTTTCCTTCTGAGTAAGTATTATTATTATTTATAATTATTCTTATTATTAATTAATTAATTTATTATTATTATTATTAATTTATTTAATTTTAATTATTATTAGTCATGTTGTGATCTTGGCCGAATTCCGTATAAAGAATTTACAACCAATATCACAAACATCTTCACAATTTACAAGTAACAATAACAGTAATGGAAATAACAATAATAATAATCACCACAATAATAATTATAACAATAATAACAACAATATTATTAGTTCACAGCAAAGGAGATTTATTTCTCAATTAGGTTCTAAAAAATAATGGTAAAAGTATATATATATACATATTTTATAATTTTATTTTAAATATTTTAAAATGTTTTAAATTTTTTAAATTTTAAAGGTTTTGTAAGAAAAGTTTTGGACAATGTTTAAATAAGCATACATTTAGTACATTTAGATATATGATTGTTTATAATGGGTATTAGAAAAAAAAATTTTATGACAATAATGGTCCAGTACTATATATTTCTTCATTTTTTTTTTTTTAAAAAAAAAATAATAGATCATTTCATTCATTATACTTATTCACTTAAAATTTTCTTTGTAACCCTCAAAGGTAGATTATTTTTATTGTGGTTCAAAGCTTTATTTATTAGAGCTTTTTCAATTTTTTCATACCCTTTCCTTTTACATGTAAATAACATTAGTAATTATTGTATTTGGTGGATAAGAATTCAATTCAATTTTTTTGTTTTCTCATTATACAGATGTCATGATGTCATTATATTATATTTTTGCTATTATTTTTTTTTTCATTTTGTAAGAATAAATTTTTCTCATACCTTTTTCTTTTATTATTTTTAATCTTTAATTGGATTAAGTTATTATTATTTTATTTTATTATTTTATTATATACATATTTTATATATTATATTATTATATATTATTATACTACATTACTATATTATTTATGATCCAGCTATATTATTTATGATTTAAATAATGTGTAATAATGTGTAAATATATTTAAATATTTATATATATTGACTTATAAAGTAAAAAACATTGAAATCATTGAAATATAAATATTCTAAATACTGTATAGAAAGAAATTTATTTCTTTTTAAACTAAATATATTATAATTGAATATTATTTTGTATATTATTTTATATTATTGTCATCAAGTTCTTTTTTGTTTGTTTCTATTAATTTTTCTTTCTCTTTTTTTAATTCTTGTTCTTTTTTGTTTATCTCTATTAATTTTTCTTTCTCTTTTTTTAATTCTTGTTCTTTTTTGTTTATCTCTATTAATTTTTTTTTCTCTTTTTTTAATACTTGATATTCGGCTTCTTTATTAATGATCTCATTACGTAAATTTATAATATTAATTATACTTGTTAACCCTATTACAATGTATGAATTAGAATTTAAATATCATTTTCATTTATTTATATCAATAAAGAAATTTAAATAGTTGTTATAACCTTGTTTAAAATGTCTTTGAGATTCTCTCAGAGATGGTGGAACCAAGACTCCAAACCAATTTAATGGATCCGTTGTCCTTCGTTTAATTAATGGCTTTTCGTTATTTTCCATATCACTTTTTTCTTTTTTTTCAAATTCATGTGTAGCACGTCGGCGTAAGGATGATGATGACATATTATTTTCTGCATTCATTGAATCATCCAAATGTCCACTCATTAAAGTGAACTGAATCCAACTATCTTTATTTGTTTTCGAATCTGTATTTGGGGAAATCAATCTATTGTAACGTGTATATATATATGAAAGAGTTGGAAAGAGAACTCTTTTTGACTAATCAACCAATTTAAAAATCACAAACGGCAATAATCAACTAACACTTGTGTATTAGCTTGCATTCTTCCATCATACTGATCTTGGGAAAGTCTACTATGACCCATAATATACTTGGAATGAGCTAATTGAAAGAATCCCTGAAGAGTTTTTCAAATTCGCATTTAGTTAAATATAGTTAACCAAAGTATATAAAAAATGAACTTTACTTACACTTTCTGCTTCTTTGCTATATTGTTTCCATTGTCCTTGATATTCTGAAATTAGATTAAGATATTCTTCTAAAATCTGATCCAATTTACCACAGATGTCTTCCATTGTAATAAAAGTTTACTCCGACGATTTTTATGCACTGCAGTTACACATAGATCAATTTACCTTTCGAGATATTTTTTGGATGTAGCATTTGTCTCTCACGATTGGTTAAGATATTTCATATATATATTTTTTGAAATATTGCTCAATAATAAAAGAATATAAATAAAAAAGAAAATTACTGCACATTCATCATTTTATCCATTATTTTAAGTAAATTAACAAATAATAAAAAAATTTTTTTTTGTAAACAATTTGTATATTAATATTTTACCTTTTCCACAATACCACCAAACTTTTTAATACAATATTATAAATTTTTTGATATCTCATTTATAATAAATCAATCTAACATAATAAATGATACCAAAATTATCTTTTATTTTTTTTTAATATCTTAAAATCTATCATCAAAAGATCTATTGAAAGGTTACATGAAATTGCTACAATCTATAATTTCTTTAAAAGCCAATTCATCATGTTAAAAAAAAATTTTAACCATAAAATGTACAATAATCATTTTTTCTTTGATTTCTTTGGTGGTGTTACTTGGGTTTTCATATCATCTGACACACGTGGTGGACGAGTCTTAACCCATCATTATCTTCCAAAATAAGATCAAATTCCCGGATTAGAGAATTGACATTTTGTTAATCAGAATTATTTGCATAATTCATGCAATTCATGTCAAGATTGTATTTCTTGTTTGAACATTTCGATTTGTAAAGTATATTATATTATTTTTCTACTGTAACAATGCAAAAAAAAAAAATTAAAAAAAATTAAATTAATTTCAGAGTTTAAATAATATGATAAAATAATATAAAAATATAATAATAATAATATAATATCAGTAGGTAATTTTTATATCTTGAAGAGAAAAAAAGGAAGAAAAAAAAAAGAAGGAATCAATATCTAAGATATCAAATAAATACAAAAAACTTGTATATATCTAATACATATATATAGATTCCCCCTCCCCACCACAAAAAAGATTTTCAAAAAATTCAAAGAGAACCTTTGAAAAGAAAGAAAATATTAATTGTAATGAATAATAGTAAATTGATTAATCAATTTTCTATTTTTCTCTTTTACTATTTCTCTAATCATCGAATGGATGTAACTTTGGTTTACATCATATATTGAATTATTTTTTAATTTTTTTACTTACCACACAATATTATTTCTTATAATTATTCACCAAATTTTTGACATTAAAAAAAAAAAAAGATATATATATATTGTATATATTATGATGTTAGCAAGAATAAGAAAAAAGAGAAACAAAGAAATAAATAAATTGATTTATGTAATCAGGATCAATGAATATAATCACGAAATAATATAATTCATCTGAAACACGGATTTGATCTAAACGACATCATATCACATGATTTCACTAATATCTCAAGGATTCTCTAGATCAAAGATCTCTTGAGATTTTCTCGGAATAATTAAACATACCACGAAAAAAAACCCCTAACATAAGAAGCGAAATTCAAGGGATTATAAAATTTCTGTAAGAATTAGGTTATTAAAAAAAAAATATTAAAAATTATTAGATTCTATGTATACTTTTATATATATATTTTTTTTTCATCAAAAAAAAAAGTTAAAAACATTAAAACATTAAAAACGTTAAATGGTTTGAAATAATCAGATAAAAAGTTTTGGTAATTTTGTTTCTTCTTTAAAAATATTTCAGAAGCAGAACTGGATAAAAATTTATCATCATTTTTTTTTCTATACATTCAATTATTTTTAATTTAAATAATATTTTTACCTCTCATACTTCATCAAAAATTACGCTTCACTTTCTAATCCGAACAATTAATTATTATTATTATCATCATCATTATGATTAAATTTTTTTTTATCTAACCTAGAAAACAATAATAATAATAATAACAATAATAATAATATTTAATTAATCTATTAATCACTCGTATAAAATTTTTTTTTTAAAAAAAAAAAAGTATTGATTGCAAATTCGAATATAATAATGTAATGTGCTTGATCAGATGGTAGTGCATGTTTTTTTTTTCTCTTTGGCTCATTTAAATAAAATCACCGAGTAAATATATATGGATATTATATCATCATAATTTAGTGAAAACCCCAGAGAAAAGTTGATTAATAAAAAGAATTTCGCACTAAAACGCTCACCGTAAAAAACTTTGTCAAACAAGAAAGGAAACGGAAAAAAGAAGAATTATGTAAAGGTAATTGAAGACCCATATAAAGGATCATTATTTTTTCTAATTGAGATGAAAGAGTGTGGGACAAATCATTCAATCATTATTATTATAATTTTTTTTACACAAAAAATCTAATCTCCGAAATAAATTTAATTGTGATACATAAGATTTTAATAAAATGACGAACTCGTGTGAAATTTAAGCCTCGCGTTTTGTCTACTCAATTATTCTTTTATTATACAAAAAAAAAAAAAAAAAATTAAAATTAATATGAATGCCATCGTTTCACTTGTACATTTTTGCGAGGTTGATGGACCAAGTGTAATGTTTTGTACGCAAGCATTTCATGAAAATGCGGTAGAAGATATCGCAGATTGTCTTTCTATTAATAGTGGTAGACATTCACCAGTTTCTGATCATATTGAGGGTTCCAAAGAAAATATACCATTTTCAAATAGAAAAGATCCCTCAAATGTTAATAGACCAGTACCTGTTTCATGTGCATCCTGTTCGTTTTCTTTACCTCCATTAAATACGTTAGGTGTTGTGAAAATATATAATTCTACCGAAATAAAAGGTTTTAGAACTAATGACGACGAAAATCCTATGGTCACATATGTTGGTTCTCGATATCCGCAACATTCTCAATTATATGCAGCAGTACGTCAAGCCTGCGTTAGAAGGTAATGATATTTTTTCATTTTTTTTTATTCATTTTTTTATTCAGAATTTTTTATATTTCTTAATATAGTCTGAGCTGTGAATTCTGTCAGGGAAGGGAAGGACCAGTATTATTTGGAGACGATAAAAATGGTTATGTACTCAGTTACATGTTTAAAATTAAGGATAATCAGGCTCGAGGATCTCAAAGATGGTATAGTTTCGTTTTTTTAATGACAGATCGCGCTTATCTAGTGGCATCATGGCCATTTCTCGTGAGGTAATTATAATTAAATTTTTATAGGCATTTTATCTATATCTTTTTTTTTTAATTATTATTATTATTATTATTTTTAATATTTTTTTTAATAAGTTTAAATGAATATATAGTAAATTTCGAATGCTTGCAACTAATCTTCAAACAAAAGCAAATCAAATGTTTGAAAGAGAGAATGCAGCAAGAGAAGGTAAACACGATGACGCGTTTATGTCACGTTCAGGAGCACTTCCACCTACATCACCAGGTAACACAAATATTTTTATTATTTTTCTAAATTAGATTTGGTAATATAAAACTTTATAAACTTATAAAATTCTAAAAAATTCTTTTAATTAAAAGATCAATTTCTCAGACGAAGAGCGAATCAACCTTTAAGATCATTAGTGGAATTATTAAAAACAAAGGTTTATACGAATTTTTATATATTAATTTTTTCTTTTTAATTTATATATTTTGATTTTATTAAAATATTTATAAAATAGGACTTGTTTATTCAACTCCATGCAAATTTCAGTTGGATATTAAAAGCGTGTGGAAAGCGTTTACAAGAAAAACATGTAAACGATCAAAAATTGGTAAATATTTTACGTTCTACATTTCAATATTAAATTATATATATATATATATATACATATGTGTGTATGTGTCATTTATATCTTATTTTATATAGTTTCCTAATTCATGCGTACTTTCACCAAAAGCTATAATGTTTCTTGACCCAATAAATGAGTTCAAAACGAGCCAAAATTCAGCATTCTATCAAAACGGTGAATTCGGTACACAGATTGTTCATTTGAAATCTCTATATAATTTATTAGGGATTTCAAATTTTAGAAAATTAATTTTAAATTTTGTTAGAGACAATCAATTGGTTATTAGAAGTTCAGACCGTGATATTACAAAATCTGTAATTACAGTTATTAAAGTAATTAAAATTAAAATTAAATTATTTATATTTTTAAATTATACTTTAGATTTAGATTTATATTTATCTTGCTTTTATTTTACTTTTTCCATAATAGGATTTGGTACCAAATAATTGTTGTTCAGTGATAGAATATGAAAATAAATATCAACCAAAAACAAATTGCAATATATTAGGACTTAATGCAACAACTCAAATACCTAATGAAGTTGACAAATTAATTATATGTTTATTAGATATCCTTTTGATTATTTTTATTATTATTATTATTATTATTATTATTATTTTTTATTTTATTTTTTTTTTGTTTTTGTCAATTTGTTTTCTTACTTTGAGAAATTCCTTAATTAATTTCACACATTTATCATATGATTGTAATTCCCTTCCTCAAAATGAACAGGATGTTTTGAATGCAATTAAATTTAATATGCAATTTGGAATTGAAGAAAGTAATATTGAAACTGTTGACGTCAACGAAACAACATTTTCTCCTAATTTATACATCGATCAATTATCAGAAATATTAAAACTTAATTTACCAGTTGAATTATTAAATATGCAATTGGTGATATTTAAAGAACAATGGTCAAGGTATATTTTTATTAAATTATATGTGATCTTTGTTGTAATGAATTTATTATATATTTTTATTACATTTTATTATATTTTATTATATTTTTATTATATATTAATTAAATTTTACATTTACATTATTTTATTAGTAAAGCAAAGCAGTACTTTAGATTTCTGTCCAATATTGAAAATAATACAATTGATTCATCTATTTCAGATAAAGAAAAGGAATTAGCAAAGACATTGAACATTAATGAAATTGATTTACCGATATTAAAGTTTTTGCAAGAAAAAAAAAATATATAGAAATTAATATTTTTGTAATTAATTTAGATTTTTTTTTTTTTTTGGTTATTTAATGATAGATTTTATTTCCTTTCATGGGAAATAATAATAGAATTTTTATTTTATATGAAAAAACAATTTTACAAAATGAAAAGATATTTGATTTGATAAGTATGTATGTATGTTAGTACTACGCCCTATTAAATAAATTTATCCTAAACTCCCAGGATTACGATTATAGAAAATTCATAGTTCATATTGGCCATATATATCACGTGGATACTACTTTAAAAAAATTTATTGAAAATTTTTAAGATCTCTCTTTTTTTTTATTAATAGAAATTTTAATATGGGACGTGTTATTCGTTCTCAGAGAAAAGGTCCCGGAGGTATCTTTAAATCTCACACTAGACTTCGTAAGGGAGCTGCCAAATTACGTCCCTTAGATTTTGCTGAACGTCATGGATATATAAGGGGAATTGTTAAAGAGATTATCCACGATCCAGGTCGTGGTGCTCCTCTTGCCAAAGTTCAATTTCGTGATCCTTATCGGTGAGTTTATTAATGAATCATATTACTTATTATATAATATTATTAGAATTATATTAATTATTATTATACTGTATTATTTGAATTTATGTTAATTAATTAATTAATTATATTAATGAATTATATTAATGCTATGTTATTTTTAGTAAAGTCAAATGTATTAAATATATTTATTGATTGTTCGATTATATTTTTTAATATAGTTTTCGGCTTGTTACTCAAACCTTCGTTGCTACAGAAGGTTTACACACAGGCCAATTTGTATACTGTGGGAAAAAAGCTACATTGACTGTTGGTAATGTACTTCCAGTGGGAACTATGCCTGAAGGAACTATTATTTGCAACGTTGAAGAAAAGATTGGTGATCGTGGTGCTTTAGCTCGTGCATCTGGAAATTATGCTACTATCATTGGTCATAATCATGAAGAAGGGAAATCTCGAATTAAGCTTCCTTCCGGTGCAAAAAAAATTATCAATTCAAACGCTCGTGCAACTATTGGTATCGTAGCTGGTGGTGGTCGTATCGATAAACCTTTACTTAAGGCAGGTCGTGCATATCATAAATATAAAGTAAAAAGAAATTGTTGGCCAAAGACTCGTGGTGTTGCTATGAATCCTGTGGACCATCCTCATGGTGGTGGTAATCATCAACACATTGGTCATGCTTCTACAGTATCAAGAGAAAGTGCACCTGGGCAAAAGGTTTATATTTTGATTCTTATATTTTATTTTTTATTTTATTTTTTATATTTTATATTTTTATATTTCATCTTTTATTTTTTATTTTTTATATTAACCAATCTATTTTTTTTTTTTTTTTTTACAATTTTTAGGTTGGATTAATTGCGGCTAGAAGAAGTGGTTTACTCCGTGGTACTAATAAAGTCAAGGCTACTTAAAATAATTATTATTTAAGAATTTGATAGTAGTTTAATTTCGTAAAATTAACTTATATTTCTTTCTTTAATAAATTTAATAAATAAATGGTTTCTTAAAAATTTTTGCAAAAAATAAATTCATCAGTCAGTATTAAAGTCTTATCTCCTGTTAAAACAAATATTTTGATTTATCTTATATGATAACTTAAATTTGAACTAATTTTGTTAAATTGGATTACAAGATTACAATAAAAAAAATAATAAAGAAATTTAAATTTAATAATAATATGTAAAAAGGAAACTAAATTATCAAAGATTTAATAATTCTATTGCAAAAGATTATTCTAACAACAGAAAAATAAGAGAAATCAATTGTTATAATGCAAAAAAACAAATGACGTTAAGAAAATTAAGATTAAGAAAAGAAATTTGTTTTTTTTTTGAAAAATAAAAAATAATGAACAAAAATCTAATCTAAGAAAAAAACCCCCCCCCCCGAAATTTCTACTTTTATTTAGTAAATACCAAGATATCTCAACGATGTATATTACAAAGAAATTAAACTGATTATTGTTATTTTTTATCCAAAATAAAGCCATCGATCTAAAGTTGTCTAAAATTGTCTTAAAATGTATGATAATTAAAATTTAACGTATTTGAGAGCGAATATCAAACACAGTCATCCGTTTCTTCTCTTTCTTTCCATTGTTGAACACATTCCAAAAACGCAATGTTTCATCTCCAGCGCCAGTGACTATATTTTCGCCATCAGGAGACACGGAAAGATAAAGAACTCGTAATGTATGACCTTTAAGAACAGCCAATTGCTCCATACTTGGATATTGCCAAAGAATTATTTGATATTGAGAGTATCCATGAGTTGAAACAAGTTCATTCGCATGTCTAGACCAAGCAAGGTTACAAACCTAAATAATATAGTAATAATAATTAAATAAAAATGTTTTACCAAATAACTTAAATATATGTAATATTATTTGTAATAATAATACCTGCGAGTCAGTATCATAACATCCCAAAACATCGCCAGTTGTAGTATTCCAAAATCGAATTTTCTTATCGTGAGAACCACCACCGCTTGCCAGAAGACCATGTGTGTGTGGACTCCATGAGATTGCTTTAACAGCAGCCGTATGATGAGGAAACTTATGAAGAAAAACATCGTTCGTTCTATCCCAAATAAAGAGTTTATTATCATTGCCTCCACTAGCAAGTTGAGTTCCTTCTGGATTCCATTTGAGACCACAAACCTTAATAATAATATTTAATAATATTACATTAAAACCTTATCACATTTAATCATGAGAACATGTAGATCAATCATACATAAATTATATAAATCCACTTACTTCTTGTTTATGTCCTGTCAATTTCATAAAATGATCATTGGGATCTCGAATATCTCTATGGTAAATAAATCTATCACGACTACCTGAACTAAAAGTGTGTACATTGTGTGAGTTCACCGCCAAGGCACCTTTTTTTTTTTTTAAATTCAGAAATAGTTTATATAAATGAAGTAATAAACCATTTAGATTATATAACGTTATTATATAATGTTAGATTATTATATACTACTAACCTACTCGTTGAGTATGTCCTTTCATCGTTCTAACTCTTTCATTCTTGTGAACATCCCAAATCTCGACAGGACCTTGAGTTGTACCAACAGCTATTTGAGAACCCTTTATAATTAAAAAAAAAAAAAATTAGTTAGTTTATAATTGAATAGTTTCTTCAAAAATTTATATAAAAATATATAATTACCGTCGGCATCCAACTGATTGATGTGACATTTTCTGAGTTGTCTGTGTTGCTATGTCCTCCTGACATATCGCAAAGTTTTACTACCTGATAAGAATAATTATTTTTAGATATGAATGTAAAAATAGATTGTAATATAAATAATATAAATCTAATTTTAATCTATCTCTTTTAATTATAAATTAACTAACCTTTGCTGTAACTGCATTCCATAGATAAACACAAGTGCCCAATCCTACTCCTAATACATTAGTAGAAGACCAATCTACTAAGTTCAAATAGAAGTCATCCTGTTGATTCAAAGAATTTATTTTTTATATATTTAGTTTTATAAAATTTCTATAAAATAATAATGTGGATGACATATCAACTTGCCTGAAGATCCGGAGCATCAAGCACTTTATACGGTGATCTACTTATATATCTAGGGGATTTCCGAGGACTAGTCAAAATCATCTGTGCTTCCAATGGAAGCGGACTCGAATTATAGCTATTCTTAACCGGCGAATCAAAAAAATTATTGTGTTGTTTCGTCGGTGTACTGAATGACAGCAATCTTTTGGGCGATTTAGTGGGTGTGGAATTCAAACGACGAATTATATCATCGGTTGTTTCTCTTAAGGGCATCATGGCTTGACCCACTACAGCTCTATAAAGACGGCCTTCCTCTTCTGATTCATAGAAATTATTTAATGAATATTGTTAAAATATATATTTGTTTAATAGTGATTACCTTGCTGTGCTTCTTCTTCGATGACCGATATTTTTCGCTTCTTGGAGCTTTCTTCGGTAGCAATCTGCATTTGCAGATCGTGAACCGGATTAGGGGATCGTTGGGGAAGAAGTCTACGAAATAGAAAATGATTCCAATTAGGAATTTCGTTTTTTTTTTTTAGAAAAATAAACGGATCGTAAGCTTACCGATCATAATCAGGAGTACGAATTTTTCGTGGAGGGGTTGAAAAGATGTCTTGTGGAGGAGTTAAAGGGATAGCTCTTTTGATATGCGAGCCCCTGCTCTGAACATTAAGTTCACTTTCGCCTGCACGTACGGGAATAAGTTGTTGACCAGCGTTTTGCGACATTATCAAAAAGGTCAAATTGCAGTTGTTTCGGAAAAGATATGAACGGTATAAAACTGTTTTATTTTTTAAACGCGTCAATCGAAACGTAGATTATTTTGGTAAAGGCATAAGTGCTTCTAAATTGATACATTTTTTTTTACAAGGAAGTATGAAGACGTGTCGTGTTTCTTAAAGTTAAAAAGTCTTACACAAGTCACAAGTTAAACTTACCTATATAAAAAAAAAATTGAACAACTGCAGCAGAAGTGAAAGAAACAGTTCAACTGCGATTGACTGTAATAAAGTAAATAAAGTATGTGGTGTAGTATATAAGAAAGCTTAAACGAGAAGTAAAAGAAACAAGTAATTGTCACATGAAATTTTATTATCAAACTAAAAATTGACTTATACGGAATTTAAATTCTACCAGAGTTTGAAAATTTTTAGTCGATACTATAATAATAAACAGAAATTAATCACATTTAATAAAAATATAAATATTTATGAATGGAATAATAATAATAGTCTATAATAATGAATATGTTCAATGCAAATTTAACGTTTAATTAATGTCCAATACAAAGAGATCGAAAGTCATTTTCTGTTTTCATAACATAAAGATGATTAGAGTCACATTTGTCAGTAGAGTGATAGGATTCGTAGGCTTCTCTGATTTAGCTGTATGATGCCAGTGATTATAAGTTCATTTAAAGATTTTCTTCGTCTTTATTGTATCAAATCACCTGGCTGTAGATATTTCAGGTCGCATATTCTCCAATATTATTTTTAACAAGATGATTGTAGCTGTTGCTACAAATATTGGTTTAAGTAATTGAATTATATCTTCAATTTTTTGCCATTCATCATCTTGTATATAAAAAATTCCTAATTCCCGATTTTTTATAACAAGAATATCTAAAATATTTCTCATGAAATTTTTTTAACATTAAATAAATACTATTCCATCAAGTTTCTACATCTAAATCTGACTTTTTTAATAATAGGATCTGATAATTGTAATCCATGTTGGACTGCTAAAGATACCTGCCATAATTATTTTCACGAGTTGCAATTATTGCAATTCCATACCTAGTTGCCGCAATGTCGCAATTGTGGCGTAATTATATCATTAAATTGATTATATATAAGATCGGAAATAATCATCGATGGTTATTACATATAAAATATTTTAGTTTATAAGCAAATATCAAAAAATGGTATTAAGTAGTCTTAAAGACAAGAATAAATCACGTATTATATAAAAAGAAGAGACATATACTATCAAAATTGAGAGAACTATTAGCAGTTAAAGCTCGAACGGACGAAAAAATTTTAAAATAATAATAATTCGCTCGATTTTGATTATATATGTCTGTTCTTTTAATATAATATGCAATTAATTTTTATCTTTGAGGTTACTTTTAATATTTCACTTATAATATAAAAACGATTTTGTATATCCGTCCGTCACTTTGCTAATTGTATACATTACGAAAAATCACGTGATAGAAAGAAGACTACACACAAAAATTTTTTTTTAATTCGCCCACGATTTACATGACAGGGTGCGATTTTATATTAAGATATTTTATGACAGATAGAAAGCCCTTGTTCTTAACTACAAGATGATATGTGTTTCATTTCTGTAACATTGATATTTGTAGAAATATTTACAAATAGTAGTGGGATCTATGGATAAATTTATCTGTCACAGATGTAGAACTACTTATTCTTATTAATTTCAATTAATTCTTTGAGGGAATAGATCTCAAGACATTTAAGAACATGTGACTTGAACATTATGGCACAATTGTAATTGCAAAGTTACAGAAGTTATAATTCCTTTGGCTTCAGATGCAAATCGATAAATTTATACAGATCAATGCAAATGTGATTATAATATGTTTAAAGAATATAATCACATAAATTCCTATTTTGTAATACATACTATATGTTATATCTGTTTATATCTATTTATACTTTGCTGAAATCGTCATTTTTTAAGATCATCTCAAAACTATATCAATTCTATATCACAGCAATATTGCGGTGACATATCTATTTAAAAATATGATAATCATATCGTAACGCGATATATTATAAATGTGATATGGTATGAAAGCGATAAATCACGTGAACATTTTACTATATAAAAAAATTTGTTCGTTGATCAGTAGGACATCCGCTAACTGTTTACATCGCGTAACGTTAAAGTCATAAATTTACTTGATATCCAAAAAAATTTTGCTTAGAGCTATCCAGGGTCCTGTTATAACAATTAATATAATTATATATAAAATTATCGATCCTTGCCGCATATAAAACATTTTATTTTATAAGAAAATTTCAAAAATGGTACTAAGTAACCTCAAAGACAAAAATTAATTACACCTTCTGCAAGAAGCATAAGTCGATTTCATTAAAATTAAAGGAATAGTAGCTTTTTTAAATTTTTTTTTCCATTTCAATTTTATCTACTTATAGTTCTCTCAATTTTAATAATATAAGTCTGTTCTTCTTACAAAAGGTGTATTTTGTTCTTATCTTTAAGAATATTTAGTAACATTTTCGATATTTTCTTATTAAAATAAAAAGTTTTATATCTAGCAACTATAATGAATAATTTCTGATTCTTATAAGTTAAAATTATACAGGAGGTTTAGTATAGTTTAGCAGGTTTAGGATAGTTTCGGGGGTTTAGGATAGTTTAGGAGGTTTGGGCAAGGTTTAGGAATTTCAGAATTTGGGAAAATTATGTAAAAGGCTAAACCCCCTTTGGGACAGTTTCGGTTTTGGCTTTTTCCTAAACTATGGGGGTTTAGTCTCCATCACTAAATGATAGTAAAAGGACATTACCTGATGAAAAAGTTTATGTAAAAAAGGGTTAGGTTCTTCTATTATGGTTTTAGATTTTTTTTGTCCATGTCATGGATCACAATAACCAATGTGCAAGAATCTTATTGAACCAGGTAAAAATCGAGATAATTATTGGACAAATGCAGATCTTATTAAACAATTACAAGAAAAGGTATATTGTATTTACTATATTTATTATTTTATACTATTTTTTAACAAATTTAAATAATTTTTAGGTAATCCCCATTTTTAATAAATTGTATACTTCATCAATTGGACTTTTTTGTTTGATTCTTCACAAAATCATCAATCTTGTGCACCAGATGCTCTTAATGCAACATCTTTAAATCTTAAAGGTGGTGGAAAAAATGTATCTTTAATGAGAAATGGATGGTTTTTTAAAGATCAAGAAAAAATAATACAACCAATGCAATTTTCAGATCAACCTCAAATTCAAAAAGGAATTTGTACAATTCTTGAAGAACGAAAATTATGGTGAAATAATCTTAACTAGAATGTAAACAATGTTTGAATAATAATATTAATTGTTGTGCATGTAAAATTCTTTCTTTACAACCAGATTTTATGGAAAAAAAATCATAGATACAAGAAGTTGTTGAAAATGGTAACCATTTATTTTTACTGTTTCCAAAATTCTATTGTGAGCTCAATTACATAGAAATGTATTGGGGAGCTGCCAAACAATATACACGATCAAATTGTGATTATTCTATATCAGCATTAAGAGAAACAGTTCTACATGGTTTAGATAATGTAAGTTTATCCAGTATTAAAAAGTTTGCACAAAAATCATTACAATTTATGGTGCATATAGACAAGGTTTAAATGGACGATTAGCTAATTATGCAGTAAAAAAATACAAATCACATCATAGAATTCCTGATGATGTCATTTTAGAAGTTGAACAATTAGAGCAGGATTTAAATAAAATGTAATAAATACAAATTAAATGATTTTAGATTAAATAAAATATTTGCACAACCATTGTTACACAACAGGTCTCTAATTTTATTATAAAAAATTTTTTTTATATAAAGATCTGCAACCAAAAATTGTATTATAAAATTATAATTATTACAATTGTTATGATAATTAATTTCTTTTTCTGAAAAATCCTAAAACGCAATCATTATAATGTATTAATTCCTCTATTCTTGACCATTCTTTTCTATGTTCATTTAATATTGATTCTAAATAATTTTTAAAATTTTGAGGATTATTAACAATAATATCTCCATATATTTTTAAAAAATGATTTAAATAAGCTTGAATCAATTCAAAATCTTTTTTCGATTTAATTCTTGATTCAATGGCATCTAAGAAATATTTTAGATCTTCAAAATCATTTTTTAGGCTAAATGACCTTAATTCGAAGTCAATAGCTGAAGGATTTAAAGTTTTTGCAAAATTGAAAAATTCGGTATCTATTTTATTAATTAATTAAATATAATTAGATATTATTAAATATAATAAACAACAAACACGCACACACTTGACATACTTACATTCTCCCTTAAAATGATTATTTTTTAAAATTTTAATAAACTTAGTTTCCATTTCGATGTCACCAAATTTAATAAATTTATCGTTTTGCATTTTTTTATCAGTTTCATGTGTATTATTGACTGGAATAAATTTTGGATCAACTCCTGGAAGTGTAGGTAAGAAGAATGGTGCCTTTTCTAATGGTTTTGGAGGTTCTTTAGGTTTATTTCGTTTCTAATTTTTTATAATTCCATCAATAAAATATTATATTAAGGATAATATAAAAGATAATAATAATAATATATATAATATTAAATAACAAATCTATAATAACAAATTTATAATAAAATAGACAAATACCTTAATAGTATCAAGATTCAATAAATTCTGCCATTTTGATTTTGGTAGTGATGATAATGTTATCATTTGTTCAGTAAGTTGTTCTGGTGTTTCAAAGGATTTTTTATTTGTCATTTCGGAATCAATTACACTAAAATCTTTATAATAATAATATGATTCAAAGGTTAGATTTTTATAAAGAAGAATATCATATAAAAGAAAATTCAATAAATTCAATAATATTAAACCTTCAGCATCACTATCGACTCCTGAGGTAGTGGGAAGTCCTATAGATAGAATTTCATCATCATCTATTATTTTCCTCAAAGTAACATTAGTGAACTGTGTACGATTTGCCCTGTGTAATGAAATACGTAAATGATTGTAAATAGTTAATCTTAAATAGATAAATATAAACAACTTAAAGTAAATATCTTACGATTTCCTACCATAAATATATCCCAACTAAGTCCACATGAGTGGTTGCTAAGAAATCACCCTTTGGAGAAAATGCTAAACTAGTTACAATATGATCAACTTCAAATACATCTATTAAATGGCCAGTGGGAAGATCCCAAGTTCGAATGGTGGCATCAAGGGATGATGATATAATCCATCGTCCATCTGGACTAAATGTCTGTTAATATTATTGATATAATTATTATTATTGATATTATTATTATTATTATTATAAAATTTCAATTTTAAAAAAAGAAAAAAAAAATTTTTTTTTTTCACCATATCAGTTATTCGATTTCGATGACCCCAAAATTCTCTGACAATTTTACGTGTTTCCACATCTATAACACGAATACCCAAATCATCAGTCGCAATTGCTAACAAATCATTCATGGTGTGAAATTTTAATATAGTGATAGGAGAAATAACATTTATTGTGTGCAAAAGTTTGGCAGAATTGAAGTCCCATATCTATTAATAAATGTTTGTGTGATGAATCAATTAAAAAAACTTTATAATCATAAATAAATAAAAAAAACTATATATGTAATTTTTTATGTACCTTAACTGTGCCATCAAGAGAACTGCTAATTAAGATTCGATTAAGTGAATCGCCAGCTAAACCTGAAATGGCTTTGACATGTTCTATAGAAATATTTCAAAGAATGTATTTTTTCTCACTGAGAAATTAAATTATGTTAAAAAAAAAAATAACTTAAATAAAATAAAAATTGTATTTACTTCCATCCCCAGCAAAAGTTTTTCGATGAATTCCAGATTGCATATTAAATATTTCTATTGTTCCAGATGAAGTTCCAATGAAACCAAAATTTCCGCAAGCACTGATATTTGATGTCTATTATTGTGTAAAAAAATAATATAATTAATATAATTGTGAATATTGTGAATGTAATTATCCAAATAATATTAATTACATATAATTCTATTAATTACTTTGACAAGTGATTCATCATTAGTTCGAAAAATATGTTTTCCAATAACCTTTGACTGAAATGACCATGTACGAGCCCCATTGTCATTAATATGACATGTGACTATATTATCCCATTCTTTTTGTTTTGTTTCAGCTATTAATAAATGAATAAATAAATATAAAAATAGATATATGTATATATATATAATTTTTAGTATTTAAGGAATTTAAAATAAGTAATGATGACAGAGAAAAACTTACTTACATGCGGAAAATTGAATAATCTGAGGCAATTTAAGTTCATCAATAGATTGACGAGCAGATGTGAATTTCTTGTTTTTTTTAACCAAGGATCCTAAAAATTAAATCAAAGAAATAAAAATTAAAAACCATCAGATTAAAGTGGTGTCAACATATTAAATAGTGTCAATATATTGAATATTGTTACCTTGTGATAGTTCTACACTCTGTGAATCTCTTACTATTGAAAATGCTCTTAACGATCTATCTCTTGCCGCACTTATAATAAAATGTCCATCAGAATCGTAATATTGAATTTGAGTTGGTGAAGCATGATGTCCACTACGAGATTTTAATAATCTTGGTTCGGCTTCATCTAAAGAATCAAAAATCCATTCCTAAATTTAATAATAATAATAATAAAATAAAAAAAATAATAATAATGGTAATAAAAAATAATTATAATTTAATTAAATATTAAAATTTCACTATTAAATTTTTTTTTTCACATTATAAAAGATATTAATACCTTAACCGAATTATCTGCGCCTGATGTCACAAGTATTGGTTGCCCATTGAGAAATTTTATTGAAGGAATTAAACCTTCATGTGCGCCTTTCATAATATGTGATAATCTTTGTTTGTCAAGATCCCAAAGGGCGATATCTCCATACATATTAGAAGACGCCATAATATGATGTTCGTCTATATGAATTTATTTTAATATAAATAATGACTCCTTTATATAAAAAAGCATTCGATAACGATAAAACAAGTCTTTACCAGTTCTGAATGAGATTGATGTCACGCGGCCTTCTTGTTTATAAGAAATTAAAAGCTCGTCCAATTTAATATTATGTAATATTATCCTCCCATCTAGTAATCCGATAGCAACAACATCTACAACGGGGGATTGTGTGAGAAAAGTAATCGGTGATCCGAATGAAGAAAATGAATATTTCAACTTTCTAGCATAAAAAAAAAAAATCAAAATCAATATAATCGTAAATTATTTGTAATAAAAGAAAAAAAAAATCCCAATATAATTGCTTAAAAAATAATCAATTTGAATATCAATACTTTGAGACCACATTCCAGATCTGCATAGTTCCTTCCCTACTACCAACCAATATTTTATTTAAATATGTGCTTGGATGAATCATTGTCGTTACAGTGAAATCATTATCAAATGAAATTTCTGCTTCAAGTTCTGTAATAAAATTTAATCAATTAACTTGATGAAATTAAAAATCCAATTTCGAGGATCAACTTTAATTTTACCAATTTTACCTCTAGTTATATGATCCCAAACGATAAATTTATTATCATTTTCACACAAAGCTATTAACCAATTACCAAAAATTACAATTGAAAAAATACTGCCGCGAGAACCTGCAAAATATCGTGAATTCTAATGAACAATAATAAGAATATTATTATTATTTAAATTAGATCTAAAATCGGTTTTCCTTATAAAATCTAATATATATATATATTTATCTCTCTCTTTTTACCTCACGATTTTTTTCATAGACAATTAGATCTTGACTACAAGCCACATAAGTAAAATCACCAAATGAAGCTAATGCAGTTATCGGTTTATCGGTTTTCGTTCCTAGCACATATGTTAATAAATATTTATTAATATACGCGTATTTTAGCATTACAAACAAAAGTTCCGTAAACTAAGAAATGGGAAATAAACATACCTACACATTTCAAACCAAGTTTAGCACACTTTTGATCATTAAATTACGATGAATTAAAGAGGGAGTAATTAATGAGGTTTAATGATTGATTTAAAAAAAAAGATTTATAAATTAACATGGTAACCAGTGTAAGAGATAACTCACATCATAAACGTGAAAGCTATTGCCCACACAGGTTGTAATAAAAAAGACTTGTCCTCTTGCTTGAATATCAAAAGGTATTTCATTTGTAACATATCCAATCGCACGAAAAGGTTGAAAAATTCGAGTTTGTATTTTTTTTTTTGATAATTGGTCGATTTCTTTTACATTTTCACGGAAATTTTTAATTTTTTTTGTCGATTCCATTATATCGAAACCGATCTGAATTTAGATCAAAAAAATTGAATTAAAGTTTATTCCCCATCTAGAAATTAATTTGAGAATTACACGTGGTAATTAAAACTTTATCGTTTTTACAATGTCCAAAGCATCGCAACCAGAGCTAAAAAGGTATCTTTTTTTTTTTTTTTTGAATATAAGTTTAGTTATGAATATAATACTTTAGATATTTAGATATTCAAAGTTTTGTTATTTGTTTTATTTGTTTAGATATATGGAAAAAAGAATGTTTATCCAACTTAATGGAGGTCGCAAAGTAACTGGTGTCTTGCGTGGTTATGATCCTTTTATGAATTTAGTTGTAGACGATACTATTGAAGAAGTATCAGCTACAGAGAAGCACAATATCGGTATGGTAGTAAGTATTAAAGACGTTGAATATTCTTTTTTTATTTTATTTTAATAATAGATCTTAAAGTTTTAATTTGATTTATTTTTTTTTTAGGTTATCCGTGGAAATTCTGTTGTAATGATGGAAGCTCTCGAAAACATTGGATGATAATAATAATAATAATAATAATAAATTTTATCATGTTTGAAATTATCAAAATTTAAAATATAAAAAAATAAATAAATAAATAGAGTTTTACCATATTTTTACATTATTTTATTTTATTTTAATTTTTTAATTTATAAAATTAGAGATATTTTTTTTTTTAACACCAGGAATAAATTAATAAAATGTAAATGTGGAGAAAATTTAAGATAATTCAGGATATCTAAATTTAAAGTAATCATTATCAAAATGATGTACTCTAACGTAACCATCTTCTCCACCCGATGAAAAACTTTTACCATCGGGATGTACAGCGATAGTATTGATTGGACCAAAATGACCTTTTACTCGACCTACTTCTTCTTCTAAAATCCTATGCCAAAATCGACATTCAAATTTACCTTGTCTCATTGTAGTTGTAGTAACCTGCATAGCATCTTGACCACCACCTAAAATAACGAATTCTTGTATTGGAGTTATCGAAGCAGAATTAAGTGGTGCATCAGTTACATATTTCTTTAAAGGCATCAAAGTATTGGATTCAAATATTTGTGCTGATTTATCTTTCGAAGAAGTTATGAAATAAGTGCGATCTTCGGATGCTTGAAGGTCAGTAATTTCGCCAGTGTGAGGATGGATTGAATTAAGTTTTTCACCGTCCTATAATTTAATTGATTATTATTATTCTTCTTTTACACGAGATATCTCAAAAAATATTTATTAATAATGCGAACCTTCCAATTATATAAAGCAATGCTACCATCTTCGTGACCAGTTATTATATATTTATTAAGATTTCCCCAAACTGCTACCATTGCTTTTGGACCTTCGGGACGTATGATTGTAATGGGTTCATCAGATTCTAATTGAAAAATATTTAAAAATAATTAATGAATTAATTAGAAAATAATAAATAAATAAATAAATAAATAAATAAATCAATCAATCAATCAATTAATAAAAATTTCAAATTGATTGATTAATTAATTTCGAATAATTATAGAAAATAATATTACGTTGTGCTCCAATGTCCGGATTTATTGGAAGAATAACAATTGTTCCGGGATAACCCATCCGTTGTTCAGTAACAGCGAGAGCCATAGTATCATCTTCAGAAAAGGCAACTCGTTTTACTGCAGTTTTAAATTCCCATGTGTGTAAACATTTTCCAGTTTGAACGTTCCATAGTTTGGCTGAATTATCAGCGGATCCAGTTATTAGAAGAGTAGTCGTTGCTAAAATTGATAAATAAAATTAAGGATAAAATAATAATTTATGGAACCAAAAATAATGACTTTCTTTATTCCAAATAACAATAATATAATAATAATATAATAATTGTAATAATTATAATTATTTATTTATTTATTAAAAAGATACAATTAACATCTACAGACCAAATCGCACCAACATGACCATTATAGGTCCCTAAACGTTCACCATTATGAGAGTACCATGCATTCACAATTTGATCCTTTGAAACAGAGAAAATAAGGTCACCTTCTCTATTATATTTAATCTGAGTAAGCGAACGCGTATGGCCTTGTAACAAAATAGGTCTCTAAAAAGTAAGACTAATTAGTTTGTTTAAATTGTTTGTTGTTTGAGTAAGTAACTTTGAATACCATTTGCTGCGTGTTCTAAAATGTCAAGATCAATTAAAATTTAAAGATCTATTTCAGATATCAAAACTTAATCTCATTTGCATCATAAATCATTTATATGATTTTCATAGTATCCGCAGTATATAAAATGTCGCACTAAGAAATTTTTTTAATCAACCGTCAAACACGAAAAATTAGAGAAAACAGAAAAATCAAATTTTATAAATTTATTTAAAAAATTGGGCGATTCGTATTTTGTTGTTGTTCATTACTGAATCTATTTCTATTATCACTACCATTACTATTATCCATAATATCATGATCAGCTGTAACTAACGAATAAACTGAAGCTTTGAATAAAGTATACACTAAACCAACTTTTTTCTCAAGGGTACGTAATTTGTTAATTAGATTTAGTACTTCATTTGTGTTAATTCGAGTTATCAATTGATTCATCTGTTCATTATAAAAAAGAAATAAAAAAAATAAATCTTTAGACAATAATAATAATAATAATAATAATAATAATGACATACTCTATCAACGTTGGCTACTAAATTTTCGTATTCTATAATAATATCTTTTTCAAGACTTATAATTCTTTCTCCTTCAGCAGTACCGCCATTTCTGATTATAGAAGTATTATTTGTATGTTGACTTTGGTTCATTTTTCAAAGAAAATTAAATTAGTGATAATAGTGGGTAATGATGAAAAGTAAAACTTATTTTCGTCGATAATTTTGAACGCGTAAATAAAATAAAAATATGATTGGTCCGATAATAGAATCTCATCCTGATTTAGTAATGGATTTGCTTATCAAATTCAAATATATTCAATATGGTAAAGTACATTTAAATGTGTGCAAAAAAAAAAAAGACAAATTCTCTATAGGGAAAGCATTTATAAACAGAGATATTTCTAACTTATTATTCTTCTTCTTAAGAAACATAAAGTTCAAGGTGTTCAACATTTTTTTTTTTTTACATAATAAATTAATTAATTTATAGATAATGCATTACTACTATTAATATAGTTTTGTTTAGTTGATCGAATGTCTTTTTATGTGAATAAGATTTTTTTAATAACGATTTGTAGCCATATCTCCTCGTATTCGGTTATAATCTGGGAGTCCTTCGACTAGAAGAAAATAAAAGAAAATTAAAATTTAGAAATTATAGAAATTATAAAAATTAATTTTACTTATGAATTTAACTTACTTGGCCCAACGCCGACCATCGCAAAATCTTTATCCCAAATATATTCTCCCACTACGCGCCTAACATCATCCACAGTAACTTTCGACACAATAGATTCTACTTCCTTAGGTGTTAATCTCTTACCTGTTGTTATAAGTTGACGTCCAATATCTTCTGCAACCGAAGATGTGCCATCAAGATTTAACAAAAGTGAAGCTTTAAGTTGTTGTTTAGCGCGTTCAACCTCATATTCTATGGGAGATGTATATAATCTTTTAAAGAAAAAAAAAGAAAGAAAGAAAGAAAAAAAGAGAGAAAAAAATTATGATATGTTATGACATGATCATAATAATAAATTAAATCTTACTATAAATTCAATCCATTTTTATTTTTATTTTTTTTTTGTAATACCTCCAAAATTCTTTACATGTAAAATGAATCAAATCATCCAATTGTGTCTTATTTTCTGATATAAGATAAATACCAAATAATCCAGTATCACTATAACTTGTATTAAAAGCTTGGTATGAATTGGCAAGGTGATTTTCATAAATTGTATGAGAAAGGCGAGGAGAGCTATGTGGTGCACATCCAAGAGATCTATCCCAAACTCCAATTATAGCTTGGGCAACCAACATGGGATAATAATCAGGTGATGTCCAACCAACACTTTCTACTGCCAAGGCTATATGAGCTTGTGGTAATTCATCATTTCTTACTCGAATCTCTGAACCAGTGAATGGTGGCTTCTCAACGTAATGATTTAAATTCAAAGCATTTGGAGATGTTGGAATTTTTCCAAAATGTTTTTCTGCTAATTTTAAAAGTTCATCATGATCAACTCCTCCAGTTCCCACCAACACCATATGATCCGCGGTATAATTTTTGGCAATATAATCAACAAGGTCTTCTCGTTTAAGGGACAAAATATTTTCTTTAGGTCCGAGAATTGTACGTCCTAATGAATGACCTATTATTGAATATTGACGCAAAATTTTTTAAGTTTTTTTTTTTTTTTTTTTTTTCTTTAACAAAACAAAAAAATATAAAAAAAATATAATATGTATATATTAACCTTGGTAAGCTGTAGCATGCAAATGATCAAATACAACTTCATCAAGAAGTTTATCAACCTCTTCTTGTTCCCTCAGAATAACATCTCGTTCACGTTCAATTGCTTTTTCTTCCAAAGTCGAATTTTGTAGAATATCGGATAAAATTTCAACTGCGATAGGTATATCCTGTTTAAATGTTTTTGCATAATAAACAGTTTGTTCCCGGGATGTATAAGCATTTAAATGTGCACCAATATTTTCAATTTGAAGTTCAAGTTGATGCTGAGTACGATTTGTTGTTCCCTAAATAAATATATATATATCAAATAACAATAATTAAAGATTAATTATTTAATTCTAATTTTCAACATTAACTAAACATTATTATTTCATAAAAATGAAATCCCGATCACCTTGAATGCCATATGTTCAAGAAAATGAGCTGTACCATTATTCTTTTTATTTTCAGCTCTACTACCAGCATCAATCCAAACTCCTACTGTCGCTGTTTGAGCATATGGATTACTCTCAGTAGCGACAGTTAAACCATTGGGAAGTAAAGTGGAACGTGTCGTCAGAGAATTATTGACTTCTGAAGCAAAAGGACGTACAAACTAAATTATTGTAAAATATGATTCAAATGTTTAAATTGATTTCCAAAATTATTGTAATAATAAATGCTTAAAAAAACTTTTCACGACGGCATATCCACGTATTTTAAAATTATTTTTTTTGTAATAAAATTACTCTCGGTATCTAATTAAAGTTCATTAAATACATCCAATATTATCAAAATTACACTAATTCTTAGAATTGTGATACCTTTTTCGCCAAGCCACTACCAACTTGACGTCTCAAAACGTTAGGGAACATTCGAAAAGTCATTTTATTGGAGGAATATTTTTTAAATATTCTTTATAGGTAAAACGATAGATTAAATTTTTTTATAAGATAATCAATTAAGAAAATATCAAAAAAAAAATATATATATATATATCACAAAATATAAAAATATCACATGATTTCATATTACAAAATTAAATATTCCAAATTCTATGTATCATTTTTTTGCACTTAACACAATTAATATTAACATTATAAAGTTTTTTTTTTTCAAAGCAAAACTTGATTTTGAATTATAATTAATTCTTCAAGCATATTGAATTCACTTATTCTTCAGCTACTTCCTCTCCCACATATTTAGCCATCATACTCATATTTACAATTTTGAAATCCTTTCCACCTTTTACTTTAACAACTCCATCAAAACCATCCACCCCAACAAGAATTCCTAATTGTCCTTTGAAATCCCCTGCAATCATTTTGATTTTTTCTTTCTTTTGTGGAGGTACTGGCACTAAAAATTGTTGATCTATAAAACACTGTTCTTGTGAATCATCCAAATTAACAATACAAGTAGTTTGTGATTCAAGACTACTAATAACGCCCGTTCGGTTGTCATATTGTCCGTTTTCGAAGGAAGTACCGGTAGTTTTATCGGGTATAATACGAACTTGTATATCCAAAGTTAACCATTCATTAGGATTTGAATTAGCTAGAATTATAATATAATATTATAGAATAATAATATGGAATATAATATTTAGTTAGTAAAAATTATCAAAAATAATCAGAATTATATAAATATTTATTTACTTTCTTGTCTGATCTGCCTAAAATCACCAGCCGTTGGAACCGTGCTTGCAGGTACAAATGGTGTTTGAGGTAACAAGTTTGCTGGTGTCATTGGAGCAGGACCGGGTGTAGCAGGAATCATAAGATTACCTGAATTTGCAGGAGTTGGTGCAGAAAACAGTGGAGTATCAGCAGCAGGTGTTGGTGCAGTGAATCCTGGAGTATCAGCTGCTGGCGTTGGTGCTGTAAAGTTTGGAGTTTCGGCAGCTGCAGGTGTTGCAGCAAATGAAGCCTCCCACGCCGGAGTTCGTGCACGGTTTTCTGCAACATATGCTGGAGTCCTACTTCCAGTATCCCAAGCAGGAGTTCTTGAACCATCAGAACCAGCATACGCAGGAGTTTTGCTACCAAGATCCCATGCAGGTGTTCTAGATCCATCATTCAAATGAACTGCGGGTGTTCTAGATCCATCTGCATGAGATGGAGTACGTGTACCGTCAGAAGTAATAGTGTTAGGTGTCATGGAAGAATTCCATGTTGATGGTGTACGAGTACCATTCCATGTATTAGGTGTTCTAACATTACTTGACTGCCAGCTTGAACCTGAATAATTTGAAGGTGCTGGACTGAATTCTCTAGTATTTCTATTCGTACTAGGCTCCGGTAAGACTACTGGTCGACTTGTACTAAAATATACATAATAAAATAATTAAGGTCAAAGTTAACAGCAGCGAACAGGCATTTAAGATAAATTTACAACTTACTCAACATTGACCAATTTGGTCTTTTCTACGTTAACAATGCTACAATTTGTATGCAATTCTACTCGAGCCAATACAGGTGTAGTATCTTTCACTATCCCTAGATACCCTTTATAAGGACCTTTGGTAATAGTAACCGTTTGTCCTATTAAGGAGTCAACAGGGGCTTTCATGCCTCGACCTCGACCTCTAGCACCATAACCACCACGACCTCCATAATTATATGAAGGACGGTTATAAGATTGTGCAGGGGGTTGGGCAGGCATTGAAGCGAGAACTTCAGGATTAAGTTTATCGAGAGCCAAACCCATCTAGCATATATAAAAAAATTTATAAATATTAAATTACACTAAAAAATTATTAATTTATAATTAATAAATAAATAATTACAGGTCTCGAGTTTTTATTCGCTAAATTTGAACACTCTGCGACAAAAATACCACCGTTTTCAATAATACCTCCACGACTTAATATGAAAGCATATTTACGGAAAAAGTGAAGTATCTTTCCTTCACGGTTCTAAATAATTTCAAGTAAATTAAAGAAATTCGATCATACAAATTCATAAAAAAAAAAAAAAAAAAAGACTTGTAATTACTTACTTCGGCAGATGTGTCAGTAACTACATCACCAATTTTCAATAATACTTGATTTTGACCAATTGCTGTAGAAAATCGACGTGTATCTTCCTTCGTGATAATTTCATCGCGTATATAAGTCGAAGTATTCCCATTTGTATCTAATACAGAGTATTTACCTCGATCAATATTAACTATCATACCATATTGGTTCCTTTATTGTATAATTGTAAATAAGATATATTAGGGAAATTGGTTTTAAATTAAAATAATAATCATATAGAACAATAACCAATGATATTATTATTATTGATATAACACTAACGTTGATAAACGAACGAAGTCTTGAACAGCATAATCTAATCCAGATGTTTTCGAAACAGTTGCTTCTGTTATCTTTTTTAAATCTTTGGAAAATACCTTAATCTAAAAAAATTACCAAAAAAAAAAAAATTAAAGGCAAATAATAATAGTATAAAACTCTGAAGGTCACAATTAACGAACTATTACTTAATAAACAAACCTCGGATTTTGTAATATCAGACCAAAGAGTAACATAATTCTTGTTCTTGTCGATGTTGACAATCATTCCAGCTTCTCCTTGATGAGATCCGTTGAGTACTTGAACGTGATCCCCTATATTAAACCTTTTAGCTATTTGATCTGAATGTACTGTCACTTGTTGTACTTGATGCCTTCCTGAAGATGCACGATTAAAAGTGATATGTTCTTTATTCACAGATTCAACGAAACCGTAAACTCCTCGATCGGACCCTGATATAATTTCAACTTCATCACCAGGAAAGAAAACAGCTTTTATTGGCAAGGTAGCAGGTCCATCAGAATTTCTGGCTATTGAATAAGTTTGAATAAGTTTGAATAAGTTTAGATAAGTAGGTAATTATGTAATAAATTAAAAAATAATCGCTAATTCAAGACAATAAGTACTATGTGAGTCGGCCGCCGAAAGAAATTCTTTAATTTCATCCATGGTCGGATTAGCATCCCATATCTAATATGAAATAAACATTAAATAAATAATTATCCAAGTACGTTCTGCAATTCAACAAAAATATAATTCATTATTATTATATTACTAAATTCGAGATTTTCGTATCTCTTTCCGTATATCCATTATCAAAATCTTTAACAGTTGCATTTGCAGGTTTCTTTCTCTTCGATATATTATTTTGTCCTGTTCCTTTATCGTCAGCACGAGGAACGCATCTGATTTTTACTTCATTTGAATTTTGTTCATATACCCAAGCAATCTAATAGAAATTATTATGAACTATGAATTAAAAAATATTTATTTTGAATTTATTATAAAAAATTGTCATAGAAAAAAAAATTATGATAATACCTGGACAATATCTCCAGCATATTTTCCTTTTCTGACTCTAGCCCAGGATCCTTCTTTAGGACCTTTTTCTTTCCTTTTTATAGTTAAAACTTGAGATCTTTCTTCCAATGGTACAAGTTTTATTGCAGAATTAAATAAATTATTCATATTTTGAACAGCCTATTAAATTAAAAATTAGATTTAGAAATATTTTTCTTTTATTTTTTAAAAAAGGAGATAATATTAATAATTAAGTCATACCTTTTGTACGTGTGCTAATTTCCAGGCTTCAACATATACATATCCTTTTAATGCATCTCTACAAGTAGCCGATAAAATATCAATAGGATGTTGTGAATATTGACTTTCTTTAAATTGCTTCATAAATTGAAGAACGACATCTTTCTCTTTCCCTAGCTTTTAATAAAAGTAATTAAATTAATTAATTAATTAAAATTAATGAAATTAAAATTTAAATTAAATTAATCAATGTAATATAAAGATAATGCTTACTTTACAACGAACAACGAATAAATTTGGTTGATTTACTCCTGCAGTAAATTGTGTAGGTATACTAGACTTCATTTGACTAATTTGATCACGACGACGTCCATAGCGTTGAGTCATCTTTAAAGCTAACTCTTCAGCATCAAGATTTTCTGCCTCTAGAGCTTGACGATCAAGTTCCATTGCCAATCTTCTTGTATCTCTAGTTGAACCTCTTACTTCTCCAGCATCATCATCTTGACTAACAATAAATTCTATTGATAATAAAATATTAAAATTATGTCGAGATATTTATAAAGAATTTTATTATTAAATAAAAGTAGAAGATTATTTACGTTGAGATATAAATTCATCTTCTTCCTCTTCTTCCTCTTCCTCATCATCATCGACCTCAGCTTCTGTTAAGATGAATTTATTTGCATCGTCCTTACGACGTTTCTTTCCACGCTAATGTTAATGAAAAAGGCAAAGTATTAATAATTTCTTACATTTTTACAGTCGTTGATATAAAATTAAAAAAAAAAAAAAAAAATGAATTCAATCAAAGAATAGAAATTAAATCTACTAAAAATATGTAAGAAGTGAGAATTAGTTAAAATGTAAGTAATAATTCAAAAACCTACCCTCTTGAAACCTCCTTCTTCGTCGTCGTCTTCATCTTCTTCCTCTTCTTCCTCGTCAAAATCCTCCAATTCTTCTCTTTGATCTAAATCTTGAGGTCCTTCTTCTTCAGCACTCCAACCACCGTCAGTTTCGTCAATACGACTTTCTTCGTCATCGGAAGATACCCTATTCTGATGAGATTGCGCATAACCTCGTGAAGAAGATTTTTTCATATTCGGAACAATTTTAAAGTAAAAACTAAAAGTCTCAGAGTAAGTGAAATGAACTCAAATTTATTATTATTTATTATTTATCCACTGATCTACCAATGAAAACTAACCATATCTAGTGGTATTCTTTTTTGATGCATAATCACTTAATAAGTATTATATATTCCATAAATATTCTTTACAATTCCCAATCATCTTACTTTAAAAGTTTATCATGTCTCGCGACCAAGGGAATGACACTTTCCTGTCGCGAGAAGTGATAAACTAAGAAACTTCAGAATTTGCAAAGGGTTTTTATGTAATATTTATGGAATTACTTAATAATTATCAAATGATTATACATCAAAAAAATTTATCACCAACTTTTACTAGACTAGATATGGTAAGTTTTTATTGGTAGATCAGCAGATAAATTATAAATAATAATTCAACGTCATTATCAGTTATTATTTAGTTTTTACATTAAAAAATTGTTCCGAATATGAAAAAATTTTCTTTACGTGGTTATATGCAATCCCTTCAGAATGATTCTTTAAGTAATTCCTATCATGCGATTATGTGCGACGAAGTGATGAATCAAAGTGAAAAAAGAACGAATTGGATAGAATTTGTGAACTTCATTTGTTCCGTACCCGAAAGATCAGCAAATTTAATGGCATTAAATCAAAGTCAGCAAGAGGAAATTTCACATTTAAGTGTTGTGTATCCTGTATACTAAAAAGCACAGACATATATATATATATATTTAATTGGATTTTTTTATTTATTGTCTTTAATAATACTTTTTTTTTTCAAATCAATGTAAATAATTCAAATAATTCAAAATTAATAAAAATCAAAATTTAATAAAATTAATTAGTAATTTCTTTGAAAAATTGGCTGTAGATATTGAAACATTAATATTCTCAAAAAGTGAATTTGGGGAATTAAATGGTATGTACAATTGATAATTAATAAATATCAATGAAATCTCTACTTATTTTTTTTTTTTTGAAATTTTAGAAGATGAGATGGAAATATTGGTATTCGCAAGTGAAGAATTAATATCCAAAATATGTAGGATTGGTCACTCTAGTGCGTCCTTGGAATAACATGAATTCTATATTATTCAAAAGTATTTTTTCAGTTATTAAAATGTTCACAAATACTTATAATCATTTAAAAAAAACTTTCATTAAAAGAAATCTTCATTCAGGCACTTTATCCGCTGTTATTGAAACGCCTTAACTTTTCCAATAGAAAAGTTTATCAAAACATTTGGCATCGTGTTATTGCGAGATTTCTCCCACATACTTTAGAATCATTTCTTTCATCTTTACTTTTGTTTATTCAAAAATATGAATTTTCTGAGATTGTCAATCCCGCTTCTATCGAAAATAAAATTCGATATCAAATTCGTAATGTTGCCGAAGTAATTGGATTGTTGATAGGAAAAATTAATAGTGGAACTGCATCATACCTAATTAAATATAAATACTTTGTCGGTGGGAAACAATTTTCGATAATTATTTTGAGGGTTCTTTGTTGTTTTTTGAGTTTGGGATATCTTCAAAGACAACCAAATGATGTTGATGGAAACTTAAGATTAGGGTTAGACGATGGTAAAAATTTTTTAATGCCAAAAAATTTTTTTTTTTTTGCATCAATTATTTGTATCATTTCTTGATAAATTTCATTTAACTGAAAATTGTCTTTAAACCATTTAGACTTGATCAGTTTACTTAAAACTCTTATACCTTCATGGTCAGATCCTACATTTATCAAACATGGGTCAATTGCAAGTCAAATTTGTAAGTTTGATAAAGGAAATAATTTCAATAAAAATAACTTAATTAACCTCTAATAATGTGGAATTCATTTTAGATGTAACCAGTGCTATTCTTATAATCTTCGGATATCTTCCCAAGGAGATATTAATAAAAGCCGCGATTCCTAGAGAAATTACATTAGGAGTTACTCGATGGCTAGAGAGTTCATCTGATAGAACGCGAAAATTAGGAATGGTGGGTATTCATTTTGACGCCTGACCGTGATTAAATTTTAGGGGTAAATTTAAAATTAAAATATCAAATAGATTACTGCTGAGATGCTCTCGAGATTAACAGATGAACCTGGGAACATCTTGGATTTTGAGATGAACACAGAAGATGAGGAAATCAGATGTTTAAAGCAATTAATTGAAGTCAAAGATGGAATGTTTGATATAAATGATGAATTCTCCAAAGGTTTGCATATAATTTATTATAAAACCAAAATAGATTTTATTTTTTATATATTTAGAATTTTAAATTTCTATAATTTTTTTGTAACGCGGAAATAAATCAAACGGATTCTGAAAAAAGAGTATAAAATGGTCAAAGAAACCAAATCTGTTGATAAAGATCAAAAAGAGATTTCCAAAATAAATTTTAACAACTTGGTTATATCAGTTAATGAACAAAATACACTTGAGGCAGATTCTGATGATGAAGATGATTTCGAACCATATCCAATGGAAGTTGAAAGCGAAAATAGTGATGATGATGATAATGGTGATAAATCTATTCCACAAACCAAGGGGAAGAAAATTACTGTTCCAGTGTATATATTTATATCAAATAATATGATTTAAATTTTATTCTATGTAAAAGCTATGTACAAAATATTTATAATTCTTTCAAGTTATATAATAGATTTAATTCGATATCTGGGATCCAATGAAGAACCAGAAAAAATAGAAGTAGGAATCAAGAATGCTGGTAAATTGATTAGAAATAAAACGAATTTCGGCATGGAATTGGGTATGAATAATATTACAAATTAAAATTCTTTGTTGATATTATAAAAAAAAACATATAACCTGAAATTGATCAAACTTTAAAGATGATAATGCAAACGAACTTGCCAGAGTTTTGATCAATCTACAAGATAATTTTAACATAAAAGAATTCGAAGAAAGCAGGCAAGAAGCATTGACTGCTCTTTTGTGTGGAAGTCCTAAAATTGGTGTACCGTAAGTATAAAATTGTTTTATAAATTTTATTATTTTTAAATATAAAAAAAAATGTAACATAAATGATGTATTACAGTTATATTATCCAACAATTATTTGAAAATCGATACTCGTTATCAGACAAGCTCATGTTATTGTCAGTAATATCGGCTTCAGTAAAAGAATTGGCCGGAACACAAATAAATGAGGTTTATATAAAATTCTTTAAATATATTTTATACACTTATATGAATTTATTTTATTCAATATTTTTTTTACGTTTGAAAGAATGTATCCAGCAATCAAGAGTTTCATTTGATTGATGATGATGATCTCATTCAGAAAACTAGCGATATGAGTCTTACAACTTTAAAAATACCTAAGGAAAATCGATTTTCACGCAGACCTCAATTAGAAGCTGCGCGTAAAAATTCTACCAAAATAAATAAATTTAACGAATTTGCAGCCAAAACTTTCTTCTTTCCTTTAACTTCTGGTTTCTGGATGTTAACGCGTGATCGGTTAGAAAATTGATTTTATGGATTGTAATGATATTTTTTTTCAATTATATTAATTTATACATTTTTAGAGAACAGAATAATATGGTTTATGAACCTATCCTATTACAAAGATATATTATGACTTTAACAATCTGTGTTCAATGTTCTAGTAAGTTATCTTTTGTTATCTTTTACTTTTATTCAGAGTTTATTGTTGAATAGTTTTTATTTATTTATAATAATTTCCATTTTGAACATCGAAAGCAAATATTATCGATATATTACAAATCACTCGAGAATTCTGGGATTTAATATTATCTTTACGATACAATGATGACCAGGCTGTTTTGTCTGCATTATTATATGGCTTGATTACAATAATGAATTCAGTGCCAGAACGTGATTTGGCAGAAACATTTGGGAAAGAGCTAATTGAGACGCAAAAATGGGTTAATGGTAAGTTATTTCAAAAAAAATTATAAATTCATAAAATCAATAATATTACAAAAATGTTATGAGATATTCATTTTTTTTTTAATCATTTTTCATGTTGTTCAAGTGATATTTGAAAATAATATGAATGAAAAAAGCAAATCCTTGGCAGTATGGATTATGGTTAAAATCGATGAAATCATCAATTCATATCGACAATTGCTGATCGGCGATTTATTACCTCTTACATAATTAGAATTAATATTTAACCAGTGTAAGTTTAAAGCTGTTCTTTTGATTTCTAAATATTTTTTTTAAAAAATAATTTATATATTAAAGTTTACAAATATCACATAAAAGATTGATTTTGTAAATTTATATGCAATGACTGGTTTTTTATTGATTAAATAAGAAATTTTTTTTTGTGGGAAGAATTTCTTTTTACAGAATAGTATTTTTTAAATAAACAAAAAAAAAATTGAAAACTATACCAATACAATCTTTTTATAAAAGAGACTGAAACGAGACCCTTAAACATGCAGCCAATTCCGGTGGACTCTCAAAGAGAGTACGCACTGGAGTCAGTACTCTGGCTCAGCAAATACTTTGCTTAGCGAGCAAAACTCGGGACTGCATGAAGTAGAAAAAAAAACAAAACTCACCTTTTTATATTTTTTTTCATCGAAGATCCTGTAATGTGATTGGCCATTGATATTTATTGACATCATTGACACGTTTTTTTTTCAATACTATAGCAGATAGTGGGCAACAATTTAAATTATCGCATAATTTGCTTAATTAATAATGTTCACTCCACCTGAACAATTTGGAATTGTCGAAAAAGGTCTTTATCGTTCGGACATGTTACATGCTTCAAATTTTTCTTTTATAAAAACTCTTCACTTAAAAACAGTAATAATTTTATCGCCCGAGGTTCCTACTCGTGCATTAGCGAATTTCTTGGAAGAAAATAATATCAAATTGGTATCTTTGAGATTCGTGAACTTTTATAATATCCACAGTGTGGAATCTTAATATAATTTATCTAATCTTTATAAGGTTCACTTGGGTCTTAGGGTTTGGAAACCTAATCTTGGATGGAAACCTGTTAGTGAAGAATTAATTAAAGATGGTTTGGAAATGGTTTTGAATGCTGCTAATTATCCTATTCTTGTTATGTGCACGTAAGTTTTTATTATTATTATTATTTATTGTTTATCTCAACAATATTATCATCAAAAGAAATTTCACCTTTTAAAATGTTTAAAAGATCAGGAATTCATGAAACTGGAACATTTATTGGTTGTTTGAGAAAGTTACAAAATTTGAATTTTAGTTCCATCATTATTGAGGTAAATAATTAATTAATTTATCTTGATTTTGAATTAACTAAAGAATAATTTTTAATGATTCTTTAACATATCCATGTTTTTTTTCTAAATTAGTATCGATGTTACGCTGGAAACAAAGGAAGATATGTAAATGAACAATTCATTGAATTGTTTGATATGGATCTGATCACTTTGCCACATAATTTACCACCATGGTTTATTAAACAAAGAAAATTTTGGGTAAATATAATAAATATTATCTTTATAATTTATGAGAATATACATTCATTCTGAAAATTTTTTACAACAGCAACAAGAAGAGAAAGAAGAAGAATTAAAAAATGAATAATTTGGTAACAAATTTTTGAATTAACTTTGAGGCAAGTTTTTTTATCTATTTGAAATTGGTTAATTCAACATTCGGGACTGATTTGTTGCTATTGTTTTATTTTCTTTTTCTTTGGTTTCATTTTTATTATATAAATATATCTGTTTTTAAAAAAAAAAGTTCTGCTATAATTTGTAATTATGTATTTATAATTATGTATGTATATTATATGTATATTACATTCTTAATAATTTTTTCTTTAATCTAATATTAAATTGTGTGTAGTTATAAAAATTATTATTAAATATCCATTTTTCTAAAAGTATACAAAATAAATAATTTAAAATGATATCTTACCTTTTTCCTGGTCTTCCACCTCCCTTGGTATTTTCATCATGATAATCCATGCTGCCATATTGGTCAATCGCATTTCCACTCATGATCTCCATATGATCTGCGTTCTTTGAATTGGATTTAACTTCTCTTCTAAGACGATCAACTTCTTTTTCGTATTCCTCCTTTTGTTTTTTGTTATGAATGGCGGCATCTCGTACCTGTATAATTTTTTCATCTATGACCGATAGAATTTCCTCTGATGTTTGAGACCTGATAATTAAACATATTAACGAACGTATATATGTATATATATATATATAATGAATTTTCAAAATATTAAACATAATTCATACAATTATATTCACTTACCAAGCACCCAATACTTGTAACATTTGATCGATTTGACCAGGTCTCAAATCTCTTCCCATTGTGTATTCGATTTCAATTTGTTTTCTCTTTTGATCCAATTTACCTTTGATGACATCTTGATAAATAGCTTCAATAATTAAGTCTTCAAGTTCACGAACATTTGGTATATCAAGATATTCCAAAAGTATATCATATGGAATTGTCTAAATATAATTTTTTATGGATATTCGTGATCAAAGAGAATAGATATAATAAGAATAATAAGCAATCATGATTTAATTATTCAATGAAAAAATAATATAAAGATGAAATTACAAACTCTCGTTTCTTCTGATAAAGACACAATTGATAAATATTTCAATTTATTAAGTTGATTCTGTTCCAGCGGAGGCAACGTCGACGCATTTTCTAAATAAGTAAAATCGATGAGGGAAAGGAAAAAAAGATCAAATGATAAAACAGGTCAGAAGATTTACCTTTATACTCTTTATAAGTTCCATATGAAAAAAGTCGTAGCAATCTATGGTATGATTGATATTGCTCATTATTTTCAAGCTATGAATATAGTAAAAAAAAAAAAACGAATTAAAATATTTTTGGTAATGGAAAAAAACTCTGCTGAAAAATATGAATATAAAGAATATATTGAGTAATAAGAGAGTAAAAGGATCCCCTTTTTTTGCTATAAACTCGAAAATTTCTACATAAAGACATTACTATTCCAAAAAAAAGAACGTACATTCATACCTCGGCAACGTTAGGCATAGCCAGAAGCTCGGCAAATACATAAACTCCAGGTGAAGAAAGAGCATCTTTAATAAGCTGAACACATGCACTGCCCTTGGCTGATTTGGAAAGCAAAAGGAAAGGTTCTAAGCGTTGACGAGCAGTTGAGCCTAAAATAGTTTCGGCCATTTTTTATTAAAGTTACGAATTTATGTTCATTTTTTTGAATAAATGAATAAATTTTATTGAATTTTATCGAACTTCACGTGATACTTAAATCGAGCATAAAAATTAATTTTGATTCAGATCGAAACGATCTTTCACTTTTATACTTTTATTGTAATCTTTGAAAGGTGTGTTAAAAAAATATCTATATGTTTATGAAATACAAATTTATAATACAATATGGATTATTACCCTCGATGGTGTGGGAAAACTGGTCATTTAGAACTTACTTTTTTTTTATTCACTCGATATATATGAAATTATTAGATTTACATAAGTAGCGCAATGGGTAAAACATAAATTTAATATGTTACGTTTTCACGACATAATGTATATATGAGATATATAACTAAAAAAATTCTTTTTTTTTTTAGCCAAAAGTAAAAATCACACTAATCACAATCAAAGTATGTATTATATATTCCAAAAATAAAATTTTCCAATTTTATTTTTCAAGTTTTTCCCATTCTTATTTTTGTTTTTAAATATAGATCGTAAAGCTCACCGTAATGGCATTAAGAAACCCAAAACTTATCGATATCCTTCTCTGAAAGGGGTATTTTTATTAAATCTTTAATAAAAATATTTCATCTATTATTTGGGAATCTTCCAATTAACAATATGAAATTTATTTATTTTTATTAAGGTCGATCCCAAATTTCTCCGTAACCAACGATATGCCAAGAAGGTAAAAGTATTAATATATTTACTATGATTTTTATCAATTTCACATCTATTTACATTTTTATTCACATTTTATTCTATAAAAAAAAAGGGCACCATCAAGGTATTAAAAGCTGCCAAGATTGCCAAGGCTGCCAAAGCTGCAGCATAATAAATATGAAAACAACAATATCCAGCATTATTCTTTACATATTCTTTAATACGAATTTTGAGGACTTTTTTTTTTTTCTTTCAATTTAAGAAAAAAAATTTTTATTTATATTTTAAGAATGAATAATAAATTTGAAAATTTGAAAAAATTATAATTTGAATCTAATTTTCAAATTAGAAGATATTCATTCTATCTATTTCTTCTGAAAATCTGCTAATTTTTCATCATTGTAATCGTAAAATTTGCCACTCATTTCTTTGGTGGCTCCACCACTGACCAATGCGGCCATAACGTAACCTGGTAATTCGGGGTTAACCAATTTCTTTTTCTCGTATAATTCAACAAATTTTTTATGTTCATCTGGTCTCATGAATTGAGATCCTATTATATAATTTAATTTGTTATTAAAATATATAGAATAAATGTTTTGAGTTGGAAATAACTTAAATGATCACCTTTTTCTCTAACGTCCTGTTGCATCTTAGTATCAATTACCCCGGGAAGAATTGATAATGCGATTATATCAGGTTCTTCGCTAGCGATACAATTTGTTAGCATTAACAATCCAGCTTTTGATCTATTTAAATATATACATAAAAGAACATTAACAACTTAATTGCTCAAGTTATATCATTAATGTTCTTTAATATAATTTTGGGTATTAACGAATATACATACGTACAATACAATCCCCAACCATCATAAGTATGAAAAGCTCCACCTGATGACACTGTAATTATTCGACCTTTGGAATTACGAAGATGTGGAATTGCTTTTTGGAAAAGTGTAATCACCGAGAAAAAATTCACATCAAATCCCCTAATAATCACACTCACTTAAGTGAGATTTTAAAAATAAATTGAATATAAAATTACGTGTGTGTGTGTGTTTTTACCTTTTCCAGTCCACGTTTGTATCAGCAATTTTACCTGGTCCTAAAACTCTAATCAAATTAATAAATTGAGCAATTGATTTTTATGATATTTTTTTTTTTAGTTTCAATAATAAAACATACCCAGCATTAGCAATAATTCCGTCTAAACTTCCCCAAGTATCCAAAGATTTTTGCACGACCTGATTGACTACTTTATCTTCTGTAATGTCACCTTCTATGATTTCCAGTTTTCCTTTTAAACCTAAATCTTTCTCGACATAAAGTTTTAGGTCCTTCAGGTCTTTACCCGAACGAGCTACCGCAATTACATTGCTATTGAAATATTTTAGAAGTTGTAACGTTGTAGCACGACCTAGTCCACGAGAAGCCCCCGTTACAATTATCGATTTAGGTGAAATGGACATTTTGTATACTCGTATAAATAAACGTTATTCTTTAATATGATCGATGACATTTTACAGCTTCTTTTTCTTTAAAATACACGTGTTAGCAATATTTATAACGTGATAATTTTTTCGACTTACAACTATACGCGTACATCATATTTCCTTAATTACTTTTCATATTGATAAAATTATAAGAGCGAAAATGATTCTTTATTATTTTTTTCCTTTTCCTCTTTTTACTTTTGCTCTCTAAGTTTTATAACTTTTAAATAATAATATAATTCTTTTTCTCCTTAATTATAACTTCCTTTTTCATTTACTATATTCATGATTTTATAATTTTGATCTAAAATTTTTTTTTTATTTATCTCAGAAAATCGAAGAATATTTTTCCGAATTTAATTTGAACAATTGACCTTTTTGACTAAGCTTAACTACATGGTTGCCATTAACTAATACATTAAGATATTCAGTACATTTGCTACGTGTTAAACCTGATAATTTAATAATATCTTCCATGTACCTTTTTTTTGAAATTAAAAAAAAATAGATTTTATTAGATTTGATAATTTTAATAATAATAAATATTGAATATTATTATTATTATTATTAATGTTAGTGTTAGATACTTACTTTCCTTCCAATGGCTTATCACAAAGAAGTCTCAAAATGTTTTCTACATTTTTTCGATTTGCTTGCTTTGTTCAACAAAAAAAAAAGAAAGGAATAAATTAATGTATTATTTAAATCATTAAAGAATTTAGAGAATAAAAGTACCTGTTGATCACGATATTTTGGTGACAAATTATCAACAATTTTCTTAATCAATGTCTGAAATTTTATATTTTATTTAATATTGAATAAAAAGATAAGAATGTTGAATTAAAAATTTTCTTGAAAAATCAACTAAACCTTAATAGCCAAAGTTCTATTCATTTTTCTTTTTTTTGGTGGTGGTGGTTTCGTTGGAGTTTTTGGTTCAATAGGTTCAAACCTCAATTGGGAAGTTGGAGTATTTACTTTTCTTTCTATTGTTTGAGTACGAGGTGTAGCAATTATTCTTTTAGGAGTGGATATTGGGGTAGGTTCATTTTCATTTTCTTACATTAAAAAAAAATAAAAATTGCAATAAATTAATTAATTGGAATTTTTAAAATATCTTTAAAATATTAGAATATTGAAATATTGATTGATTTTTTTTTTTTTTACCATTATCTTGTTGAACAAAATTTGTAAAACTTGTAAATGTTTCAAATGTTTCCTTTGTTGGAGCCTGAAAATATAATAAATATGATATGGATTTATATTTGATACATAAGTATAAAAAACATATATATATTTTTATTTTTTATTTTATTAAAAAATTACTTCGGGAAACTCTATACAATGAGAATTTGTCTTGATACCATATAAAAATGTTGAAAAAGATTTATTAAATTCATTTAAAGATTCGTGAACTTGTTTGGCGCTTGAAAAATTTTTTTGAAAGGTAATGAAAGAATTTTCAAGTTCTTGTAAGGTCCCCTCCAAACAATCAAGTGGTGAAGAATCATTAATGCTACGAAGAATTCCGGTGGTTGCGTTCTTTAGAGTATAACCTCGAGATATTCGACGATGTTGTTCCGCTGCTCGAACAGATAAAGAGAAATTCATTGTAAATTTATATATAAAAGATATTGAAATATATATACAAATGACGTAACGCGTAACCATAATTTAATGTAACCATACCCTCTATAAATACCCTTCGGGGAATAGGGTGCATTTATAAAGGGGTGCATTTATAAAAAATTTCGTAAAAAAAATTTTTCATGTTAGATTAATTAGGTATTTATTTAATTGGAAAAAATTCATCTAAACTAGATTGTCGTGACATATTGATTTTTTTTACTTTTATAAATTTTTCAATTGTATTTGCTAATTTAATATACTTTTCTGAATTTTCTTGTTGAAATAAAAACATTTGTACATTTTCTATACTTTTTAATGCTACACTAATATCAATAATAACTGGTTCAATACTGTCATCTAATTCTTCAACATCTTCAATATTTTCTTCTGGCTTTTTAAAAATATCAACAAGTTCTGTAATAATTTTATCATCTTCCAAATCTTCATAAACAATATTTTCTTCTGGTACAGAAAGAAATTCTTCTATACCTATTGCATTAGGAAGGTAAAGTGCCTAAATATTTTTAGAAATATCATTTGTTAATTCACTATTATTTTCATTATTAATATTATAAGAACAACTATTAGAAAATTCATTAAAAGTAAGAATATTTATATGATTCCAGAAGTTATAAATTGTTTCAACTGTAACTTCATCCCAACTTGAAATAATAAAATGAATTGCTTGCAAAACATTCATTTTTAAATCTTGTATAAATTGACTAGCTTCAACTTGTTCCAAAATCTATCTAAATAAAATAATTTAAATTTTTAAATAATTAAATTAAATAAAATATTATTCAAATTTAATTAAAAATTTACTAAATATAATAGTTACAATAATGTCTTTTGAAAGACATAATAATTTCAGTATCTATTGACTACATTTTTGAAGTCGTATTTGGAGATAAAAATGAACATTAACATGTGAAAGAACTAAACCTTCAATTTTATGACTTCTACAATTATCCAATAATAATAAAACACATTGTCTATTATGTTTTATTACAACCTTTTAATCAAAATTACAAAGCTACTCCTTAAATAAAGTGGTAAGCATTCAAGCTTTAGAATTATGTCAATAAGTTATTGGTAAATTATGAACATTAATTGTTTTAAAATATCTGGGATTTGCATATTTTCCAATAATTAATGGTAATAATTTATGTAATCCATTTGCATTTGCACATAATACTATTGAAAGATGTTTTTTATTTTTTTTTACGGTCAAAAAGTCTACGAGTTATTAATTTATAATCTGGTTCTAATCTTTTAAAAATAAAATAAAATAAAATAAAATAAAATAAAATAAATAAAATATTAATAAATTTATAAAATTTAAATAAAATTTAATAAAGTAAAATTATATTTTACTAATAAAAAAGACCTGTTTCATCTATATTATAAATTTGTTCAGAAGAATAATTTATGCATTTATTTTGTAATAATGGAAGTATCTTTTCAATAAAAACTTCATTTGCTAATACTGCTCCACCTTGTAATTTTATTTGTTGAATTTTATTACATTTTCTAAAACCATATAATTAACCAGAAAAAAATAATAAAGTATTTTCAGAAACACCTAATCCTGTTGTTAATAATTTTGTTTTTTCAATTAAAATGGAATCATTAAGAATAACCCTATGTTGATAACTTAAAACAAACTTCTTAAGTGTCAATTCAAGTTCAGGAAGTATTACTAATTTATGTTATTTTTGTGTTGAGTTAATTTGATCATTAGAAAGTCATTTTTCTTTTGTTTGTAAAATTCTTGTAATAGTACTTTTATTAATTCTTACTTTCCATTTTTGTTCTATCAATTCTACATATTCAGATCTGGTTTTTTTTATTATTGTTAGCATAAAGGCACAATTCATATTTTTGAGTATCAGTTAATGTAATTTTTTTTTATTGAACTTATTTGGTGGCTCAAAGATCTAAAATTTTTTTTATATTTTAAAATTATAATTTAATTAATTAATTATTTTAAATCTTAACACGTAAAAAAAAATTTAAACTCTTATAATTAAAAATTGGTAAAATAGTTGAAATAGTAAAAATGAAAAAATAGCGAAATAACAAAATAACAAAACAGTAGGCTCTTTTTTTATTTATTTTATTTATATTTTTTAAAATAATTAATTAATTTATTTATTCTTTAACAAAAAACAAAAAAAATAAAATTAAGAATAATATTTTAGTTACAAATTGGCAAAATGGCAAATCACACAATGGTGAAGTGACGAAATGATAAAATGGCAAGCTTTTTTTTTATTTTTATATTCTTTAAAAATAATTAATTAGATTTTTTTGATTTCAATTATCATTCCACATGATTTAAAATTACATGGGTATATTTACTGTTTACAGATCGTCAGCCGATTTTATTGACACGAATTGCCAAAAAATTTGCCGATTTTTGATCATTCGACAAGCGCTTCTTATCATAAAGATAGTTTTAGATAAAAATGTTTGAATTAAAATTGGTGAAGAAATGCATTCTGTTTAAAAAATTATACCCGTTTATAAATGATATCATATTGTTAACAAAATATGTTATCTTTTCATAATTTGAAAACAACTTTCAAAAATTTTTATTATAAATTTGTACTAAGACACAAATTAAATAAATTAAATAACTTTTAGTTACAATTTAGCATGAGGTTTACACAATAAACCACCATCAACAACAATAGTAGCACCTGTAGTATAAGCACCCGCTCTACTTGTCAAATAAATACAAGTACCTGCCACATCTTCTTCAGTTCCAAATCTATTTAATGGTGTATTATTTAAAAAAACATTTTTAAGATCCTTTAATACTTGAGCTGTCATTTTTGATTCAAAAAAACCAGGAGCTATTGTATTAAAAGTAATATTTCGATTTGATAGATTTCCAGCCATTACTCTAGTTAAATGATGTAAAGCAGCTTTGGAAGCCGAATATGCATAGATTTCTAATCCAGGTGATTCACCTATAAAATATATAAAAATATAAAAACATAAAAATATAAATTTATCCTTTGGTCACGTTAATAAATGATATTTATTATTTTTATTATACCTTCAATTGAACCAATGTTAATTACTCTTGCTGGATCTTCTTTTGTACCAGCTTTCTCAAGTAAAGGGAAAGCACTATACGTATATTAAAATATTATATAAAGAATATAAATATTATTATATTTCAATATATATGAAAAAAATATGGAGATTAGAAATTTACCTTTGAGTTAAACTGAAAATTCTTTTGAGATTTAAGTTCATCACTTTCTAGAGAATACAATATTAGCGATCATAATTAAAATAATTAAAATAATTAAAATAATTAAAATAATTAAAATAATTAAAATAATTCTAATTTAAAATAATTCTAATTAAAAGAATATTAATTACCTCAAAAGCTTCATCTGGAAAACTTTCAAAAGGAGCTGCCCAAGTTGCACCCGCATTGTTGACTAAAACATGTAATTCTAAATAAATAAATAAATAAATAAATAAATAAATATATATTTAATAATTTTCTAAGTAAATATTATTCATCTATTAAATCATCCATTAAATAAAACTTACTTTCTTCACGTTTTGCAATTTCAGCAATTAATCTTTTACATTCACTTAATTTTTGTAAATCAGCAGGTATACTTATTGCTTTACCAGGTCCTTTAATATAATATATAAATATAAAATATTGTGATAAAAAAAAAAAATAAAAAATATTGTGATAAAAAAAAAAAAAATAAAAATTACCTTTAGCAGATAAATCTTTTGCAACTTGATCACAAACTTCAGCCTTTCTTGAAGAAATATATACTTTTGCTCCATTTGCTATGAATCCTTTAGCTATCATAAGGCCAATTCTTTATATATATTTGTTTTTTAGGACATATATAAAAATTATAGAAAATAAAATAAGTGTATCAAATATAAAGATATCTGTCGCAATTATTCATGAGAATAGCAATCAATTGAATTGTAACTTTTTCCATTCCCTTTTTGAATTACGGCAGGTATCATTAATCAAATATATTAAATAAAAATCAAAATTAATTGAAATTATTTAAAATAATTAACTACCCTCGAGATCCACCAGTTATTAATATAATTTTATCTTTGATACCAAAGAGAGAATTTAAATCCATTTTTTTTTTAATTACTTTTACAATTTTAAGTCATTATTTTTACAAAACGTTCGGTCTACTTAAATTTTTTTAAAAAAAGGGGAATCCAAATTTGAGTTTTGACACAAATTTCCTTTTTTATTCCTTCATTATAATAACTAAAAAACAGATGCTAAACTGGCTTAAATTAGCACTTTATTGATTCCTTTATTGTTTCTATATCAATATAACATGATTGAAAAATGTTTTTTGATATTATTTTTTTTTTTTTAAAAAAAATCGAATAATAATAAAAAGAATAATATTATTGATATTTTTTGGGTTCAATTTCTTTGCTAAGATGTAAAAATATTTCAAAAAATTTTGGCAATAATTTCAGTCTAGGAAATAGTTGTTGGATTAAGTGGAAAGTCATCGTATACAGTAAATGAAAATATATTCATTTAATGTTATTTCTTTTATTTAATAATAATAATATAAAATTAATTAATCAAAAGCTTTATCCCCTTCTTTTTTTAATAATTCAATCATTCCATCAGGTAATAAAGGAATAAGATTTTGTTTTAATTCATTATTAGTAGTTTGTAAAGTTGAAGTTAATGAATCTGGAATTGCTATATATCTAAATGGCATCACCTAATTGAATAAAATAATAATAATAATAATAATAATAAAATAGATATATAAAATGGATATATAAAATGGATGTATAAAAATGGATATATAAAATATATAATGTTAACTTACTACAAATTCTTGATTACTCAATTTTATTTCAGGAAAATCAATAAATGAAATTTCGCTAAAATGAACTTTAAATTAAATTAAATAAATATTAAATTAAATAAATATTAAATAATAATAAATAATAAATTAATGAATGTAATTAATGATTGAATATTTTAATTTACCTTTATCTTCCACGATTCTTTTAGTAACATGTATTGCAGTATCAGTAGTCATTTGTAAATTCCCCAGATTCCTCGTTTGAAAATTTAAATTTCTTAATTCAGAAGTTCGATCTAAAATAAAAATTGATTTATTTATTTATATAAAAATTCTTTATATTTAATTTAGTTTTATTCACCTCTTGGTGGATCATCACCCAAAATTCCTCCAAATAAAAAATATTCAAATAATTCTCCATCTGGGGGTTCTAATAATTTATTTGAATTTGGATCTAATAGACATATTTTATCTTTACTTAATCTTCCTCTATCATTATCAGATTTATCATCCTCAGCAATTTCATCATCACCAATAACAATTTTATTATTATTATTATAATCCCAAATTTTATTAGTAATTTTATTAGTAAATAAATTTGTTTCAGGAACTAATTTAATATTAACTAATATTGATTTAATAGAATGGGATAAATTTGTGAAATAAAGGTGAGTGGGAGATATAAATTTTATTATATGATCATATTCTAATTTACACCATTCATGCAAATCTTCTTCCATATGTTCTATATTATTATTATATTTATAAATAAATAATTAATTTATATAATTTATACATATATATTATTAAAGAAAATGAAACATTACCTATAATATATTTTTTTGGAGTCATCGCTCAAAATTTTATTTTTTCTGAAAATTCTCCACCTTATTTTATATATTTAAATTTATATTTAAGTATGAGATATTGTGAAACATCACACAAGATTATCATAAAAAATTTCTATGCATATATTACAGTATTATATACTAACTTCTTCTCTAACTTCTTCAAATTCTTTCTCTTCTCTCATTTTTTTACCTCTATTTCTGGGAATATCGCCAAGTCCTAATTCTTTTTCTTCATGTTTTTTACCAAGTCCACCTCTTTGTAAAGTATCTGAGGTACCTTCTCCTTTAGCTTTGGCTTCGGCTGATATTATAATTAATTATATTTAATTATGAATTAAATTGATTAACAGATATTTATTTTTATTATTACCTGTGATATTAAGTCCTTTGACATTTAGAGGTTGATAAGAATCTCTATTAAGTTGTTTATTGGGATTTGGTTCTGACATTTTTTAAAAATAAAAAATATTTGAGAAAAATTTTATAATATATATACATATACACGATACGTCAATCTTACAGAATTATTTCGTAATTGTTACTGATTGTTTACTAATAAGTATTAATTTTTTTTATTTTCGTCAAATATTTATTTCACCTTATATTTATTTATTTTTAGAAGTGTATGAATAAATGCTGAATTGATAAATATAATTTTACAAAGTATATATAGAATATTTTTTATATTGGTATTTATATATAAAATCGGTAGATGTATTATCATTTTTAGTTCCGAATCCGAGAAAATTGTTTGAAAAATCAAAATAAATTAAAGCAGAATACTGTACTAATAAAGAAGATAACACTTTTCTAAAACATCTATTAACAATTTAAACAAGTATTTTATAATACAAACCAAGTTGCTTTGAAGAAACTAAACATATTGTATACCTTTTCCCAATATCTAAAACCTCATAACTTTACAATATGGTTAATGATAAAAATTCTGATATCAAACAAAGGCAATAGTTTTATAATAAGAAATTTCCTACAAAAGATTATGTAAAAGAAATGCACGTTTCACAAATTTATAAACGATTATCATTATCAAGATATATATATATATATATATATATAACGGGAACAGATAATGTTTTTGTTAAGATAATGTTAAATGTTTACACATGACACAAGAAGAAGAAAAGAAAACGAGTAATCGATTTATATATAGATTGAAATCTGAACCTTTAGTTACTTTAGGTTTGTGGATTATAATTATTATTATTATTTATTATTATTATTATTTATTATTATTTATTATTATTATTATTTATTATTATTTATTATTATTATTATTATTGTCAGGGTTGATTTTAACTGCCTCAGCATTACTTGGAGCAACATATGGGTATCAACGTGGAGATTCTGCAACAATGCAAAAATTTATGAGATATCGTATAGCTGCACAAGGATTTACAGTTTTAGCAGCTATGTCAATACCTATTTCATATCAAGTTCAGTCTTTCTTGGATAAAAAAAAGGAAGAAAAATAATAAAAAAAATTTTTTTTTTGTTATCCAAATAAAGAAAATTACAACGAATTGGTAATTAAATTTAATTATTAAAATTTATTCATTTAATAAATCATCAATTTCATTTCCGAAACCAAATTTTTTAATACAAATATTATAACCAAATTCTAAGTATTCAGATCGAGTTACCAATTTTTCTTTAAATTCAGGCATGGTAATAAAATTATTTCCACCTTTCCATGCATAAGTTATTGGACTATATAATTAATTAAAGTAATTAAAAGTTAAATTAAAATTTTTATACTTTATTTTAGTTAAAAATAAAAATAATTCTTACTTTTCTGGAATTCCAACTCTAATTTCAAAGTCTGTTGGAGCCAAAATACGTAAATCTTTTTCACTATAATTTGATATAATTGAATATAAATTGAATATAAATTGAATATAAATTGAATATAAATTGAATATAAATTGAATATAAATTGAATATATATTGAATATATATTGAATATAATTATTAATAATAATTAAATAATAATTTATGTAAAAATAGAGAAACATAAAATATACGTACATTCTTGATTTATATCCTGAAAATAAACTATTTCCGCCAACTAACACAATGTTACTATAAAATAAACCTTGTAAATCAACCTCATTTACTGAAAACGGAAACATTTCTGTAATATTATATTATCACAAGTCATAAAATTAGATAAATCACAATTTCAGTGTGATACAAATGTAAATGTCACACGATAAAAAAATATAAATAAATAAGAAATACCAGGAAGAACAGCATTAATTGATTCTACTATAACTTCCGGAATTCCTGCTTGTTTCATGCCTACAATCATGTTAAAATATAATATAATAATGTATAACGTTAAATAATAATGTAATATTTTTTAAAAATTATAATAAAGAAAAACCAACCAATATCAGAAGGATTGAATAATATTTCAGGTACAGTGAAACGTTCATTGTTCATATATAAAACTTGTTCATCTGATTGATCATAACTTTCTTCTTTACATTTTTTTTCCTAGTGAAAAACAATAAATTTTAACAATATATTTTGATAATATATATATTAAATAATTACCCTTATATATCCTTGAGAATTTCTTGAAAAATCGGGAAGAACATATTCTCTTAAAATAGAATTATTTCTAGTATTTCTTCTATATATTTAAAAAATATTAATTTGATTAAAGTAAATAAATAAATAAATAAATAAATAAAAAAGAAAAAAAATTATTTATTTATTTACCGACCGACAGGTTTCAAGGTCTCCCAAAAAATTCTGTGAAACATAACAACATGATTCTTTAACTTCATTCATTACATATGTTTGATCCATCATATCCCAATATCTACAATTAATAAAATAATTTAATAAATAATCTTTCAATTATTATTTTATTTTATTTCGATTATTTTATTCTTACCGAAATGATACAATTTCTTTAAGATGATTAGTTAATAATTTACCTCCAATATTAATTCTGAAGAAATAAAAATAAAATAAAATAAAATAAAATAAATATAATTAATTATAAATAATAATAATCATATAAAAGTTACCTTCGAATAGCAGGAAGCACAGGTCGATTCATAACAAAAGGAATAATATGAGTAAAAGAATATCCGGAATCAACTACCAAAACGCAATCGGGTTTCGCTGAAGAATTTATATCATTATAGAGATTTGTTGTATCATTTTGTATACATAACCAAGGTGCTAATTATAAATAATGAATATCACTTAATAAATATCATTTAATAAATATCACTAATAAATATCACTTAATAAATCATTTACCAATTGTACGAAAATATGATTGAAATTCATAAGCTTCAAAGACTATTTCATCATATGATCTTTGAATATTTGGTAAATTGAAACATGGTTCTGTTATAAGAAGATTAGTATTTTTCGGATCGCACTAATAAATAATATATAATAATAATAAATTACATAATAATAATAATAATAATAATAATAATAATAATAATAATAATAATGATAAGTTATTTTTTATTAATAATTCTCTCTTACATTAAAAACTTCTTTTGAAAAAATTCTGTCCCAAACTCCTTTTTCAACTTCCCAATTTGTAAGATATCCCTATTAAAGAAATAACAAACAATAATAAATATCTAATTTATTATTTTTTATTCCAATTCTTTATTTTTTTAATTTTATTTTTATTAACTTTTTCAAAAGGTAATCTGTAATATAATCCTGAAAAATCTGTACAAGAACTTAATTGATCTCCTATAAATGTCTTTTTATCTCCTTTTCCTCGGGCTATTTTACAATTATGTATCACTCTAAAAGATATAATTGATATAATTGTATTATATATATATTTATTATATTTATATATATAATGCGTTCAACAATTCAAAAATAAAAAAACAAATAACCTTGGTTGTTGAGCAGTTCCATATTCAGCTTTAATTGTATAAGCACCATTATCAAGAACCAATACATTTTCCAACATTATAAAAATAATAAAATATATATATATATATATATATATATATATTGACAATATAGAAAAGATTGAAAAGATTGGATAACAAGTTAAAAAGTTTTTTGATTGATTTGATTTGATTATTTGATTGGCTCATTGTTCATGCATTATTAGTGTTAAACTCACAAATAATAATATTACAATGACTAGTAATGACTAGTCTGACTCCGAGTTAATGTTACACATGACCAGTAAAGAATAATTGTTTATTTTAAACAAAAAACCTCTGATGTCGTGTTTTATATCACAATATCATCATCATATAATACATAAATATCTAAAATATCTAAAATATCTAAAGACAAGCTTTTCGTGTTATTTTTTTTTTTTTATCTTCGTTATATTTATTTGTCTATTCATTATTTTTAAATTAGTGTAAATAAACACACTATCCTTTCTTTAAATTTATACCACTTTTGTTTTTGTCTTTAATATAAAACTTTCGCGACGTTTCGTCTCAGTAATCAAAATGACCGATATAAAGGTATTAGGTAGAATTCAACTTTGATGTATCCATTAAAAAAATGAAAACATAAAAAATCAATAAAGAAATTAAAGAAATTAAAAATAATAAACTTTTATATTAACATAATTAATTTATTAATTAATTTAATAATTAATATTTTAATAATAATTTTAATAATTAATAATAATTTTAATAATAATTTTAAATATTTAAAGGTAGAAAGTATTGGTCAGTTTGAAACCGAAATAAAAAAAATCCAAGAAATTCTTCAACAAAAAGAAACAGAACATACATGGCAATTATTTGACGATGCATTAAAGCGTTTACTAATTTTGTCTCGTATCGGTGCTATTAATTATGAAAAATCTTTATTAAATTGGATAAAGTCATTAAGACAACCAATTCTGGATGCAGTATGTTTTAAAAGAATCAATTTTTTTAAAAAATAATTAAGTAATAATTTAATAATTTTGTAATATTATAATTTATTATTATTATTATTATTATTATTATTATTATTATTATCATTATTATTATTATTTTAGATATTAACGGAAAGGACGCGTTTATCGGGAACTGCCACAGAGTTAATAGAAGAATTTGGTAAAATTCTTGGACCAAAATTTGAAATTATATCAGACATGTTTGTACCAGCAATTTTAAAGTTATGTACGCGTACAAACAAGATTTTTATTAATCGAGCACGAAAATGTATGTCAACTATTATTCGAGATTGTCAAATTCCAAGTTTAATAACAAAATTTAAAGAATCTATGCAAGGTCAAAGTAAAACATTAAGAACTTCTGCTGCAGAATTTACATTGACTAGTATTGAAGTTAGTGATGTTGGTAATCTGAATAATTACATTTCCGATTTGGAATGGATTATAAGAGAAGGTGCTGTAGATTCAACACCTGCTGTTCGTTCAGTTACAAAAAAGATATTTGAAGTATATAAAATAAAATTTGATTTACGATTGGATGAGTAAGTTTATTAATTAATTAATTTATTTTATTTATTTATTAATTTATTTATTTATTTATTTATTTATTTATTTATTTATTAATTTATTTATTCATTGATCCTTTTTTTCATTAATAATTATTATAATTTGTTATAGCTTCGTTAATACTTTACCTTTTCAAGTAAAAAAAAATTTGGGAGTTCAAGATCGATCTACAACAACAACAACTAGCCAACGATCAAAAATTAGATTGCAAAATCGTATTAAAGAAAATCAACAATTACAACAATCACAACAAGATAATATTATCATATATACAAAAGATGATAATGTTAATGGATCAAATGATAAAGAATGGGTCGTGGATTTAAGATTACCTTCAAAAAATAAAGAAAATAAAGTGGTATCAGAATTAGATAAATCTAATCCTCCATCTATACCAGTAGTTGCTTTATCAAACGAATCTACATCAAATACTACAACAACTACTACAACTACTGCTCAACGAGTTCCTTCGAAATCTAATAAAATAAACAATCGTGAAAATACAACTGGTAAAAAATATTTAATTCTCATATCTATTTCTATTTAATTAATATCTGTTTAATTTTATATTTAAATTTATTTTATTTATTTAACATTTTCTATAGGAGGAGCACAACGTGTTAAACAAAAAGATCATACAAGTACAATAAATGTAAATGAAGAAAAAGCTAAAGCTAGTCGTGTATTAAATACTGGCAAGACTTCCAACAGCAACAACAATAACAATAATAATAACAATTCTCCGTTATTATCTCGTACATTGAGTGCACCAACAATAAATCCTTCCAAGACTAAATCAATGCATCCATCTATTAAAAAAAAATCAGCAACTGTTAATTATAATAATAAATATAATACTAAAGAATCAAGGTCCATAATGAACTCTAATCCTAAACCTACCAAAGTGACCGCAACAGCTTCTTCAACAGCTGATGGTTTAACAACAATTGCTACTATATCAGTTTCTATATCTGCAGCATCTTCCCCGACCACCAATCGATCACAAAATGCATCAAGTTCACGTCTTTTCAATAGAAATAAAGATCGACAATTTACTCCTTATCAAAAACCTGCAATTGGATTTGCTTCCAGAAAATTCAAAACTAGAATTCCAGATTCTTCTGAATTGAATTCTAAAATAAATACATATGCTAACAAACTTATTGAAGAATTAACAGGACAACAAGAAGTTCTTGAGGAAAAAATCAATAAAGAAGATATTATTATCGAAATATCTAAACTTGAACAAAATTTAGAGACTGAATCCAACGATTCATCATCAAGAAGTAGATTATCTATTAAACAAGCATTACCAGCTACACAAGTTATTACACCAATTCCAACAGAACCTTCTCCTCCTCTTTCATTTGTTAATCCAGTAAAGTTTTTGGAAGATATTCACGAAGCATCTGAAAATATTGAAAATAATAATAAAGAGAATAGGATAATTAATGTGAATGGAGAAGAGAATGAAGGGAATAAGGTAGTATTAGTAGATGTTAATAAAGTAGTAGTTTGTGAATTGGTTGAAAAGGCCGACGAAATGAATATAGAAGATAAATGATATAAAATTCGGGAATTTAATTGAATGTGAGACAATTTGAGATTTTTGTGGATAATATAAATAAAAAATATATCAGTTATATATATATATATATATAAAATTAACTTAGACATTTGTTTATATATTTAAAGACATTAATCGTCTTGATTCCTTATTTTTTTTTCGACTTATTATGGAAGATAAAAAATAAATATATATAAAATGTATACAAATGATAGAATAAAATAAAATTGATCTACAATAATAATTTTTTAATTTTTATTATAATTCACGTGAAAATTTTACTACTTTTTATATAATTCTCAATATATATATATTTATATTGAAACATATTACAAAAAAAAAAAAAAAAAAAAAAAAAATCTAATTATTTAATAATAATAATATTTTCTATACTTGAACTATTACTATTACTACTATTACTCTTATTATTATTATTAACTAAATCTAAATCTTCTTCACAAAGAGTACTACTTGCAATTTCAATTTCTACATCATAATCAGAATTAATTATATCATTTATTGAAGACTTACGTGAAGTCATCATTATAGAATTATCTTCGTTCTTAGAATTATTATTATTAATTATATAATCCCATCTATTATAATTTTCATGATTAATTTTTGGTAAATAACTCCAAGAAATCCAGAATGTTACGAATGCGTAAATTCCTCCACCTACTAAATCTACCATGTAATGATGAGTTAAATACATACAAGCCCACCAAATCCATAACACATAAGCAAACCAAATTGGTCGAGTTTTGGGTAATAAATGAGAAATAAAGAGTGCTTGAATTATAGCACAACCTGAATGTAATGAAGGAAATGCTCCAAATACCATGGGTGAGCCTCCAAATACTAATGAATAAGTATTTGAATTAAATAATTCATCAATTCGAGCTAATCCTCCCGGATCACCTTGCATTGAATAAGAAGCTGGAGTATCTATACCGTGTACGTATTCGTACCCTAAAAAATTAAAGAAAATTAAAGAAAATTAAAGAAAAAGAAAATTAAAGAAAAAGAAAATTAAAGAAAATTAAAAGAATAGAAAACAAAGAATATCAAAGACAAAGAATATCAAAGACAAAAAATATCAAAGACAAAGATTATAATTTTTTTACTAATTACATGGAGGTGAACATGGAAATGCCAATTGAGTTAATACTCCAGCTATATTCATATATCCAAATGCCCTTGAAAATACTGCCAATATTCCAGGAGGACCAAACCACCAAAGTCCAAGACTGGTTAAAAATGGTAACATAAAGTGAAATACTCCATATGGTAACCAAGCTAATACATCTTTAAGAAGATTTGTATTTGTTGCTATAATAGCTGATAAATTATCTCCATATAAAATATTTTCTAATGCTGGTAATACTGATACATATATATGTGGTCTACTCGAACCTGGTATAAATCTACATGAATAAAATAATATTAACCAAGCAGCTATAGGAAGGAATGGTAAGAAAAATGTTCTCGTGGTGCGGAAATAAAGTCCAACTATAAAAACAAAAACTATAAATGTTTTTAAAATAAAAGGATTTTCTAAAATATAAAAAAGAAATCCTCCCAAAACTAATAAAAACACATATTGAAGATCATATATTGACCAATTATTCATCGTTATATAAACGACATAAACGACCGAGTTTATTTTATAAAAGAAATTTTTGGTACTCTTTTTATAACTTTTAAATCATTACTGATCATCATCATCACAACTAAAAATAATTATAATAAATCTATATAATTATTTACCAATTGGCAAAATATTTAATTCGAAAAATTTAAAAAAGGCATGATTGTAATGCCGTGCAACAGAAATTTTATAATTTTTATAATAATGTAAATTTAAACGTTTTGTTTTCTTTCCCAAAGGAAAAACAATTTTCTTTATCGGTTATAATTAGTCCGAATTTCCCATTTTATAGACCTTTTTTATTGGCTGTTTTGTAAGACCAATAAAAAACTATCAAACGCAGTCGAACTCGTGATTTCATGTATAGAATAGATTATAGAATAGATTTAGAATATTTTAAGAATTTTTAATTCTTTCTCAAAATGTTTCGTCAAATTGTTTGCCGTCAAAATGGTTCAATTATTATACTATTAAATTCATCCTTTTCTACAATGTTTGCTCGATGTCGATACCTTACATCAAATAATACAAATAATACAAATAATAATAAAGAAAATTCCAACAACCTATCCTTTAAAATTTCTCAACCACCGATTTCACGTCTTAATGAGACTATTGACCAAAAGAGGTCACGATTAATTTATCAATCACGCAAAAGAGGAATTTTGGAAACCGATTTATTACTTTCAACTTTTACTAAAAAATATTTATTCGAATTTACTGAACAAGAATTGCAAGATTATGATGAATTACTAAATTTATCCGATTGGGATATTTTTTATTTTGTCACAGGGAAAAAACCTATTCCTAAGCATTGGCTTGACAACGGCTTGTTTAAAAAATTACAACAGCACACAAAAAATGAAGGAAAAGTTATTTTACGAATTCCTGATTTGTAAATTTTATGATAAAAGGTTTATTTCTGAAATTAACATTAATTCGAATCAAATAAAGTTATCTTGCTATTATGTATTTTAACTATAATGTAAAATCTTAATACATAAGTTACATTAATACATAAAAATAATAATTTGAAGTCAATTTATTTTATTTTTGAAATGATTCTTCCCTAAAATTTAATAAATTTAAAAAATGGTTTCATAATAAACAGAATAAATGAAGGTAAGATTTTAAGGCTAGATCCTTGTAATTTTATCACAAGCATTTATTCCTTATCCAGAAAATAAAACTTTAAGTCTTAATTGTATTGATTATCAATCAATATTACTCAAATCACTGATTTATTTCTTCACATTCTTAAATCTAATAACACTTTATTTCTTCCTACTTGACATGGATGAAGTAGGATTAGATTTTGTATTAGAAGATTCTTTTATGGCACCAAAACCCATTAATTAAAATGAAATATAATGGGATGTGAAGAATGGATTCACAAAAAAAAATTCATTTAACAAATTATATCAACCCATTATAGAATTAAAAAATATATATCATAAATTTTTTTTGTTGCTATTATAAAAATTATTTTTCTGTAATAAACTGAACTTGCAGCTTTATATATATATATTTATTTATTTTATTTATTTATTTATTTATTTATTTAATAGCAATATTTCAATAAATTTATTAAAATTAAAATTATTAATCTCTGGTGTAATTGGTGTAATTGGTGTAATTTGTTTGTTTGTTTGTTGTCCATCTTTTCAAAATTCGATAATGAAAATTATTGTCATTAACATCATTTTAATTCAGTACTGTTGTTAAATAAATCGCGAACTGAGTCTCTACTCCGTTTCTTAATAATATAAGGATAATGATATTCTTCTTCTTCTTCATCTTGTCCTGAAATCTTGAAACCCAAATCCTCCATTTGTTCCGCCAAATCATCGAAACCATTACTTCCCTTTATTCTAGGGGACCCAGGCACTGAAAATGGGCGTGGAATTCTTCCTTTTGGATTTTCGAATTCATTATCCGGTTCTCCAACGAATGAATCAGGGTACGCTCGATGTAATGCCAACCTTCTTGCTCTTACATATTCCATTCCCATTATTTTCCAATCCAACAAATCAGATAATCTTTCAGTACGATTTCGTTGATTAATTCGTTGACGCCGAGATTTTTGACAAAATTCTAACATGTAATTTGCTAATTGTTGTACTGATTCTTCAACACTTTTCATTCTACGATCTACGATGTAAATACCATAATCTGATGAATTTTCGATTGTTTCATCCATATAACATCCAAAACCCGATAAATTTGTCGTGATTGATGGTACACCCATTACTGTACACTCTGCTGGTGTATACCCCCATGGTTCATAATAACTTGGGAACACACCAAGATGACATGCACGAACGAATTCTTCATAATCCAATCCAATTAATGGATTATTTGAAGATAAGAATTCGGGGTGAAAGATAACTTTAACTCTATCTGAAGGGTGATTAAATAATTGTAGTCGACGCAGTTGCATTAGGACTGGATCTGTTGCATCGTCTATCATATTATGTGTGACTATTGGTGGAAGTGTTCCACGTTTAAGTGCAATAACTCGACGTTTCAATAATACTTTTTCTTCATTGGTGAGTAATTCAGATGGATCAATAACCGCATTTTGAATATCACCACTATAAATATAAAAATAGGAAACGTGAATATCGTTACGTTGAATAGAGGAATCAATTTTTTTTTATATTATTAAAATCATATACCCTGCATATCGTGCAGCTTTCTCAAAGATACGTTGACCAATTCTATCAGTAATATCTTTTACTGTTTCTTGAAGTTGTTTTGTGACAGCTTGTCCTTTCAAAGCTTCAACAGCGAATGATTGTGTCGCTGCAGGCATAATAACAAAAGCAACAACAGTCACTGAAGAATTGCTTTGTTTTAAGCGTGTGTTAAGACCTTTTTATTTTCCAAGTAAATCAGAAAAACTTTTAGTATATAGAATTTTAGAGAATAAAAAATATATAAAATTTCAACAACTAATATCATTACTTACGGGACAACGACTCTACGAACATATCTACGCCTTTATTTCTGTATTCATAACGACCGGCCGTGAAGAAATACAGAGTATTATCCAAATCGAAATCATAATGACCATAAAAATGTCCTCTCACAAAGTTGTGGATTTTTTCCTTATTCCTGGCATGTAAATTTTGGAATTCATGCATAGCAGAAAATTTGACTACATTCAAACCATTTGGAAGAACACCATCTAAAAAAAAAAAAAAAAATGAATATAATAAGTTTGAGACGACAAAAAAAAAACCATATATACGAAGATCATATACAAAGATTTATATACAAAAATTTTACCTGGTTTTCGTCTTAACAAATGTTCTGCCTCATATGCTGTGATTTGACTTACAGTAGTAAAAACATCACAACAATGTGATGCGGCACGTTCTATACAATAACGATGATATATTCCACGTTTTCCTGCCTCCTCATCAACTTGGAATTTATCAATATTATTATAAAAATCTACTGAACCAGCACATAAATATCGTCCAAGTAATGTGGCATGAGTGGTGAAAATTGTGGTCAGATCTGTTCGTCTTTTGCGCATGAGGGGAATTGCGATACTTGACATCCATTCATGAAAATGGGCTATTACAGCTTTGCTTCTTTCTTTTCTAACGAACTAGATATATAATTAAAAAATTGATCGATTACAAAAACCTTTAAAATAATTTTTACGTGAGATAATTTTTATTTATTTATTATAGTACTATAGTTAATGATAATAAATAAGAGATGATAATATTAAAACATACATCATTTAAGAACCAAGCGACAAGATAACCAAAAAGGATGGAATCATTTGTTTCAGTATCGTTTGGTGGAGAAGGAATTCCAGTCACATTCCATAAATCAGCTTTCCAAGAATCTAATCTATCAGAGATAGAACCAGGGTCGAGCAATAAAACACGAGGAGAACCTTCAATTAACCACCTTCCGTACATCCATTTAATTCCTTGAGAAGACATGTCATCAAGGATTTCTTTTATACACCAATTTGTAATTTCTTCGGGCTCTACTTCGGCAGCAGCAGTTTTATAGACCAATGGACCTATTAAACAATACCTATCACCATATTCATGAACTGTGACAGGAGTTTTTGATTTTATGACAGTATAAATTCCTCCAACTAAATTATAGAAACGATTATTTAATTAAGAAAGGTTTCAACCGATAATTGATAATTAACAAAAACAAACAAAAAAAAAAAAAAAAAAAAAGACCTTTGTTTACGACTTCCCAAGCAATTTCAAATAGAAAGGGATTTTTAACGTCACGATTATTCATATTTGTCATATTTGTTTTAAAATACTTTTTTTTTTCAGTCCTGTTAATAATAACAATAATGATAATAAAAATGCATATAATATAATATAGACATAAATACGTATAAAAATATATATAAAGAAACAGAACAAAAGAAATCTTTTATCTTTAACCTACCAAGAAATTTTATGAAAATATAAAGTATAAAATTAAAATATCTAATAATTCATAACGAAAGTTTTTAACCGAAGTTAATAAGAATACTTTTGGTAATTACTTTTATATATATATATATATATATATATATAATAAATCTATTCGATGAGAAAAGAGAAAAGATATGTCATCTACCAAACTTTTTTTGGGTATTTTATATTGGATAATAGATTATAGATTATTTTAATCAAATAACTAGATGTTAGAGTAATTTTGAACGGAGAATAGCAAATATTTCGCCATTTTCAATATCAATACAAGATCTTATACTGGTTGTTAAAAATTCGTGAGAATATAATGCCAAGTTTGGAAGTTTGGATAAATCTATGAACTAAAGTTTGCAGACACATGCTTCAAAGAAAATTTATCGGCTGAATCGTAGTTCATTTTCCATTTTTATTCGAATATAATAATTATCACGATAGAAACATATTTTTAAATCATATATATTCATGAAGGATGGTTAATAAATTCTTTTTGAAACATCAATTTGTCCCGAAATTTTGTTCACAACATTCAATCGTCTCATCTTGAGCATTGGCTTTTGATAGGTTGGTTGTGTAAGAAAAGTAAGTTATAGTAAAATCAGGATCTGCATAAAACCAGAAAGGAAAATAAGGAAAATTCAAAAAAGTTACACGAATCACATTACATTTTAGCTAAAGCATTATACTGTTTTTTCGATTTTATTATATTTTAAGAAATGCTGATAAAGGAATATAGAGTAGTGAATAATTGTACTTGCGACGAATATCAAGTAACTTTTTTTATTGACTAGCAAACATATTTTTTTAGATAAATTTAACATAAAGTTTATTCAAAAATTTATCACAAATAATACAGGTTGCTCAATTGTATGCCGTAGCCGAAGCATCAAAAGCCGAAACTGGGGGAGGTGAAGGAGTAGAAGTAATCAAAAATGAACAATACGATGATGAAAAAGGGAGAGGACAATATACTTATAAAATTTATCATCTTTCCAGGTTATAAAATCTTGGAATTTTTTTTAAATCCATATTATACATAATAAAGAAATTTTGTAAGATTTGAAATATTTAGAAAAGATAAATTTTTTTGATTTTTAGCAAAGTTCCTGCCTTTATTAGAGTATTAGCACCTAGTGGAGCTCTAGAACTTTATGAAGAAGCTTGGAATGCTTATCCGCATTGTAAGACAGGTGATAGATCTTTATTAATATTTAAATAAAATTTCAATTTGATAATTAATTAATTTTAATTATAATATATTGTCAATTATTACCTTTATGTATCTTTTGAGTTTTGACTGTAGGTATTTTTGAAATTATTTAATTTTGAAATTATTCCCAAATTATCGAAATTATTCCCAAATTATTGAAATTATTTACAAATTATCGAAATTATTTACAAATTATTGAAATTATTTACAAATTATTGAAATTATTTCCAAAGAAATTAATCCCAAATTATTGAAATTATTCTCAATTATTTCAAATAAATTATTTCAAATAAATTGTTTATTTCAAATTATTCAATTTTATCCCAATTATCCTAATTATTCAAATTGTCAGAATGGGTATATGAAAGAAAACTTTAAATTAATTACCGAATCCATGCACGTTGATAATAGTCGTGGTGAAATTGAAAATGTAAGTTAATTTTGTATTTTTTATATTTTTATATTTTTTATATTTTTTATATTTTTTATATAATTTCTTTCCTTTTTTTCTAGGCTTTGAATATTCCTCCTGATTTGTTGGAAAAACGTCAAACAATACTTATTGACATCGCAAATGATCCAATTGAACCGAAATATTATAATGAGAAAGAAGATCCTAAATTATGTCATTCGAAAAAGACGGGTCGAGGTCCATTATTGGAAAAGAATTGGATAGTAAGAAAATTATTATTTGAAACTACAAAACTATTATTTATCAATTAGATTTTTTTGAATTATCCTTTTTTTATTATTTATCTTTTAGCAAACTGTTGAACCCGTTATGACTTGTTATAAACTTGTTACTGTCGAATTTAAATGGTTTGGACTTCAAAATAAAATCGAAGCCTTAATTCAAAATGTAAGCGATTTCAATATTTCCATTGTTTCAATATTTTCAATATTTTTATATATATATTCCCTTATTTGTTTTTTTTTATTTCCTTGTAGATTATGCAAACCCTTTTCACTAGATTCCATAGACAATTATTTTGTTGGACTGACCGTTGGTATGGTATGACTATGAATGACATAAGATCATTGGAAGATAAAACAAAATATGAATTAGATGAAGTAATTATTATATTTTATTTTTATTTATTTATTTATTTCTTTTTCTTTCTTTGTTATATCTTATTCTTATTATATTTTTATTATTATATTCTAATTATATTTTTATTATTATATTCTAATTATATTTTTATTATTATATTCTTATTATATTTTTATTATTATATTCTTATTATATTTTTATTATTATATTCTTATTATATCTTTTTAGACTCGTGCACAACCACCTCCAGTAGAAAATAATATTGATACTTCCTCGAAAAGTTGTGATTAATTATTTCTATAGAATCTTTTTTTTTAATAAATTATATATATCAGAAGATAATAAAGAACAAATTTATTAAATTTTTTTTTTTACTTTTTTTTTTTTTTTGAACATATTAAATAAGATATTAATTTCAATATTTATTATTTTATTGGAAAATATTGTAATAATAAAAATACTGATAAGTTATTATTATTATTTATATGAATAATGTTGAGTGTTGCCATCTAAATTTTTTAATCATTCTAAAAGAATGCTAATAGCCATTGCAATACAAGCTAAAGAAACGTATGGACTTAATCTTTCTCCTAAATATCGCGTAAATATCGAAAAAATATTTAGGAAGGAATGAAACATAAAGAATTTATTATTAAATTGTATAAATATTAAAAATAACCACCTATTCTTGCGGCTTTCCAGAACAAGCCCAAAAAACTGTATGCAGTAATTAAACAAAAAAAATACTGAATTATTAAATTTTAATTTTAATTTTAATTTAATTTTAATTTTAATAAATAAAAAAATCCCTACCCAGATTTATTTTTATTCAATATTGCTGGCGCTTGTGCTTTTACAAAGGTACAAGTACAAATGGCTAACAAGATCACAAGTAAAAGACTTTGGAAATTAAATAAAGCTGACTACATAATGTTTAAAATGTTTAAAATCAATTTTTCAATTAATAATTAATAAACAAAATTATCATAAATTTTTAGAATTACCATCTTTTTTCGAAATAAAGTTTCTTAACGTCACGAGTTTGGTTTTAAAAAACATATACGTATGCCGCAGACACATCTTGATTGGTTTAGGTTTATTATTATAAATATAAGTTTTTTTTACATTTTTACTTTCAAACATGAAAAAATATGCATGACGAAGAAGATCCTCCACCAGCTTATCAAGATATATTTCCCAATGAATCAACACCATTTATTTCCACTAATAATACAAAATCTAATAATAGAGAACAAAGTTTTCCCGTTTGTGGTTTCTTGAGTATTTTAATTCTATTATTTTTAAGTTTCAATACAATACTTGTTTCTCGACCTGAAGAAGAACCTGATGATACAACTCGGGTGCCTGAATTTTATCAATTGCGTTGGAGAAGTAGGTTTGATAGTTCCGATTTTACATATATAATAGAAGCAACTTCGTGTTCACTATTCATCACGAGAACAAATTATATTGGAGATAACGATACAAGTTATGACAGTTATGACAACATTAATTATAATAATGAAGATGACGATGTTAAGTTTCCCATAAGAGCTTATATTTTGGATAAAGATTATCAGAGAGGAGATTTCAGGTATTATTTATAATTGTATATTATTTATTATAAATTTTATAAATATTGAATTATAAAATCATTTAGAATTATTTCAATAAATTTTATATAAAGTGTTGAGGAATTTTTCTACAAACCATCTCAAGATAATTTTTATAAAAAATTAATTACTGCAAATGGAAAATTTGAAAGTCATTGGCCGGCTGAATTTTTAATCACTTTTACGACAAAAGGAAATGTTCGAGATCCTTCAGCTATTGAAGGATGTGATTACAAAATTTTAATTAATGAAAACTTGACAGGAAATATATCTCGTAAATGTTGGAGAATTTTTGAATCAGAATTTACAATACAAGCATATGTTAGAGGAAGTGTGGAGAATGGATTAACTTTTTTTGATGAAAAAGATTCTAAATTAATTCATGCGTATACAAAAAAACCTCAATCTTTTTGGAATTATAAGAGAAGGTAAGAAATTTGAAAATTTATTAATTTTTTTTATTTATTTATTTATTATAATTTAAACAAAAACAACAATAACAATAATAATAATAATAATAATAATAATAATTTATATATATATATATTTTTTTTCAAGGGATATATTTGTCCATAGTTATGCACCTTTCCCATCTGTCATTCCTGCATTATATTCAGTTTATTATGATTTTGTAATTCTTAATTTGAAATCCTAAGAATATAAAGAATATTAAAACAACACAAAAATACTCTCTCACATAAACATTCATATATACAATATTTAGACCTTTTTGTTTCTTTATTTTTGGTTAAAAATATGTATATAAAATTTTGCATCTTATTAATCTTATTATTTATTTTATTTTTAAATAAATTAGCAATTAAATTTGTTAAATTCAAAAAATCAACAAATAATACAATTCTATGATGATATTCTTGATTCATGATGAAATTAGATTTATAAATCACAAATTATTTATTTTATCAACAAATGCCGTCTTCTTTGATAACAATATGTGGAAAAATTGTGAGCAATACAAATACGAGAACTTTTGCACAATCTAACTATTTATCACTACTGAATTTTTTTAGTATTATATTTAACAATTTATGCATTTTTGATTGAACAAGCTGAGTCAGTCATTAACGTAATTATTCCACAATTCCACAGGTAAGCAATTAATAATAAAAATGCATTCCCCTCAGTAAATAATATAAATAATATAAATAAGATTTGTTACAATGTAATTCCTCATAAAGATCGTTTATAATTCATATCATCATATGATCATATGACCCGCATATGAAACTTATAACTTATATAACTTGAAAATCTAGGTCACACTCCTGTGTTGCATGATCTCCCAATACAAGACTGATTTTCATGAAATCTGTGGTAGCACAGATTGATAGATCAACTTTGCACGGGAGAAAGTTAGATTAGTGATTTGTTATACTTTAAATTATTTATAATGTATATTATGATTTGTGATATATATTATATCTTTTATTAAAATCTTTCTTGTTATGATATTACTGATATTACTAAAATGAAAATCGCCCGACATTAAATATTTATATAGCAAAGAATTGATCTGGTTCAAGTTTTTCTTTGAACTTTTCCGAGATCCATAAACGCCAATCCTGCCATAACGCATAATTTGAGAATAATATAAATAGCCATATTCCTATAAGACCTGCTACTAACTCGGTTGTTATTAATAATCCGAAACTAGGCATATCTCTTTGAGAAATCTTTGAACATTCATTTTGACCACCTCCCGATTGAATACATTGTACCCATTCACTTTCGAAACTTTTATTTGGACTAGTGAAGCGAGATAATTCAACGAAATAAAATAGCCAATAAAAGGTTACAGTTCCTACCAATATAATTGCCAATAACAAAGCACGCCATTGAATTTTTACTGCTTGTAGGACATGTTTTTTATGAGATATTAATTCTGAGAAATTACTGACAATTTTCCGTGAACGTCTTGAACGTTGTGTAGCCTAATTTATCAGAAAAATTTTTTTTTTAATATTTTAAGCAAATTGATGAAATTTGATTCCTTCTAATTGTTTTAATTGCTTATTTACCTTGGCAATATGCAAGAAAGTAATAATGTGTATAATGAAACTTGGCACCACAATAACTGCCAACGGATAAAATAATATTACACCTGATGTAGATCGTTTTACCAAACAAAGTGTGCCGAATTGGTAATTCACGGATTGTGAAATTAATGCCATTACAGTAAGAAAAAGAGGTACTCCCCAACCAAGACAATTTAACCAAATTTGCTTGTTAGATAAGAAATTTAAATTCCATACAGTGTACAAGTGAAGATTCAAGATTATTATTCCAACCCAAATAGCTGTTGCATGTGTAGCAAATATTAACAAAGCTCCTGTGAAAATAACATAAATAAACAATTGACAATTGTAATTAAATTTTGAAAAAGACAAAATGAACCAAAAAAACTCAGAAATATCAAAACCTTGAACAGCACAAAGATTATTATTAATTTGAGTGCTATGGTTCACCCCTACACATTGAATTTTTCTTGGATCCCCAATGGAAAAGAAAACAACGGAAGAATAAAGGAAAATGGATACACTCGCAAACAAAATCAAACTATTAGGATAATTCCGTTTTCCAGGCAATATAATATAGGAAACCATCACGATGAATGCCGCAAGTGACGATATTGCACGTATAATTTGGGTAACTAAGAAACCTTTATCCATATATCCTTCAGGGTATAAAAAATAAGATTGAGGACATGGTAAACAACAACCAGCACCACAAAAATCAGAATTTAGTGATTGAGAATTGTTTTTAGTAAACAAAGTGTCTTCGACGAGTGGAGGAAAACATCTAGGAGCGAAATTTATTTCTTCTTCTTGATTACAATTTGATTTAGGATAGGAAATATTTAATGAAGATTCTTGAGGGATAATGTTACAATTTTTGGGAAAAAGGAAGGATGTTTTTATGTAGGATAATACTACTTTATCTTGTGAATTTAAACATTCAGTTTGAACCTTTTCACAAGTTGATTTACATGGTAAACTAATTGAAGCAATTTGAGGATTTTCTATTTACAGTACAGTAGTATTAAATATGAGTAAATATTAGTTTTTTTTGAATCAAAAATAAAAATTAAATAAATGAAAATGCTTACGTTTAGATATATCCGCTAGACATTTCGGATATGCTACGGCGCATGCATAACTTGTGAATGCTTTTACGCAAGGTATCGAAGCATTGCTTAATACTGAAAGACCTTGAGCGATTATAAGATTTTCCAGCGAATTTTCAATATCCATAAGTTCCACTGTACCGTTTAGATAAATGTAATCTGAATTTCCAATGTAATTCTAAAAAAATAATATATTTTAGGATGTAAGATATAAAGAAACATGCGTCGAAAGAAATTTTTATATATAAGATAAATACTTACAGAACAAACACCATCTTTTCCTATATAAACACTACACGTTGCTGTGATTTAAAGTTTAAATTAAAATTCATGGTAAACATATAACTGGTATGTCTAAATTGTCTAAATGAATAGTTAAACTTACGTTCACCACCAAGAACATCACGAACATTCCAAATTATTCCCACCAACATTAAAACTATCAAAGAATAACATTGGTAAGGCATTACTAAGATGATAATATTATTATTAATTATAGTGATAAATGTATTTCTTTATAAAGTTATTATTGATTATTAAGATAATTAATAAATGTTTATCTGAGTCAGCTATCATAAGAGTGAACTCGTTTTCATTGTTATTATATTTTTTTCAAGTCTATAGTTGAAGAAAGGGGAATACGTGGAAGAGTTGTTTATGGATTTCATAAATTCATAACGTTTATTGACTTTATTAATATTATTTAAATTGAATCTTTCCATAATTAGGACGCTAATAATGAATTTCCGTTGATAAAATTTCCAAATTGGGTATGATATGAAAAGAATTTTCAATTATGGTATTTTCCCCGTCTATTCTTTTGCCAATATGAGAAATTGTTTTTGGGTTGTTATCATGCGAGTAATATTTTAAAGTTTAAAATTTGACTACATTATTTTAATAACAATGTCCGCAAAAAATATTTGAATTTTATTTAAAATCCTATTCAATCTTTTCTATATTCCTATTGTTATTATATTGCAAAAAGAAATGTTAATCATGATTATAGAGTTTTTTTTTTTTTTTAATTCCAATTCAGTACTAGAAGACTTTTCTCTATTTTAGCATTTTTATTAACTGTAATTTTTAATAAATTTAAATGAATTGATTCCTAAATTTTACAACGGGCTTCTAAGTTTATGCGTAATTTATGTATAATATTATTTATATCATTTGTGCTACAGGACACTGACAAAGGAGAATTTGATATATTGCCATTTCATTATTTTTTATTTTTTATTTTATTGAATATTTTAATTCCTTCCATTAATGAAATGTCTGTTTTTTTTTATGATATTTTGATTCAAACTTTTTTTTGAAAATTTCCAAAAATTCATGTTCTTGATGATGAATAATGTCAATGATGAAAGAATAATTTTAAATGATGGTGGTGTAAAGGTGAAAATAATAATCATATCATTCAATATTTAAAGATTGTAATTTCATTAAGAGCGAATTTTTGGTTCAATTATATAATAGTATGAGACGTATCAATCCACCTTGACTGCCTACCCGGAAACTCTTCTCGGTGCAATGTTTCATGAACGAAATAAAGATATGCTTCATCCAACAAATGGCAATGAATATTTCTTTGATCGAAATGGTCGAGCATTTCATTACATAATGGAATTTTATCACACTGGAGAAAATTTGTGGCCAGGAGAAAATGCTTTGGAACAATGTTTCACTCCAGTATCACAAAAAGAATTAATGAAAGAATTTGACTATTTTCAAATTCCTTTGGACCTCATATGTGTACACGATGATGTATTGATCCCAGATTCAAAAGTTTTAGCACATAGATTGGACGGTTTTATAACTGCTTTAATAGAAAGTATACATGACATGAGATTTGAATTCTTGAATAGTGTTACTATTAATTTCTAAGAAAGAAATTTTTCGCGGGAGATCCTTCAACAATGTATAGCCTTTGGCCTTATATTGAAAGGGTACAAAAACGTCTTAAACCATATGAGACTTGTAGATGCAGAATATTGGATCTTTTTGGGATCAAATAGTAGAACAATTGAATTTGATAACTAGCGTTAAATGTACAATCAAGAAGTTCCCATCAGGTACAGATCTGGTTTTTAGATTTGAACTGTAAGGAGATTCTTTTTTTTAGTAAAACTTTGAATAAAATAAATTATTTAAATATTTATTACGGAGAATATTGAACAAGTAAAACAGCAAAATTAAACATCTTTTTGTACTGCAACTATAATAACTATTATTATTATTTAAAAATATGTACATATTATTGAATACTTTTCTCAAATAATTTTAATTATTGTAATGATTTAAAATAAAATATTGAATCATAAGTTCTTTATTCATTCAAGTATGCTGAACTGGAGTTAGCAAAAGCAATTTAAAGAATCATGTATTAATTTTTGGTTATTTCAATTAAATTTATTTAAAGAACTTGATTTTTTCAAAAAAAAAAATTATTTTCAAGAATTCATTTCGTGCTATAAATATTATCTACATCTGAACTCACAAAATACAATAGTAATAACTTATAATTAATTTAGGGTGATAAAAAACACAACCTTAGATGTATCAAAAATGATAACTTTGCATATTATATTTTTTTAGATACATCAAGACTACTATTTCCTGCATAATCTCTGGACCTGAAAAAAGATTTCTCAAACTCCATTTTCATCTCAATCCATTATAATTTGTACAATTATATATATCAGACCTATACCTGCTGCCCAAATTCAAATTTCAAATGTCAAAAATTCCAAATTACAAAATCCAAAATCCAAATTCCAAATGTCAAAAATTCCAAATTCCAAAATCTAAATCCAAATTCCAATTATAATTAGTATTTTTTGTTAAAATTCCAGATTCCAAATTTCAAATACTAGTAATTTGAAATTTTGGCATTTCAAATTTCAAATTATTTAGAATTTGAACAATATGTATAATTAGACTTATCAATATTTTGAACATTTTCATATTAATTACACACAGGTCAAATATAAAAGAATGGGTATACTGAAAAGGAACTCTGTTTTAGCTGATTTATAATATAGGATACAATGGAACAGTTAATTTTAGCTGGTCTATAATATAGAAATTCTGATTTTTAGTTGATCTATAATATAGAAATATCATTTGGTATAATAATTCTTTTGTGATTGACTATACTGGTCGAAATAGAAATATCAGACACCTATTGTATGTCTATCGGGAGCCCGATAGGTATACGATAGGTATCCGATATTAACAATTATGTAATATATCAGGCACCTGATTGGTGAGGTCGAAATGCAGAAGTTTGGACACTTATCAGGCCCATATCGGTTTCATATTGGGTATTAATATTTTGACATTTTATTCAAATTTATCATTCACATATCAGATATCCAATTTTATTTATTTTTTTTATCAGGTACATATCTTTTATAAATTGGCCATAGTATATCCCTATATATCGGGCATGGTATATCTCTATGTATCGGATAGTTTTTTTCCCTCTATCGGGTATCTATCGGTACCTTTTATTTATATATATATATATATTTTCACTTTTTTTTTATTTGCAAATAATCATAATTTTAGTTTATTATAAAAAAAGATAATAA